TTAGTCTAGTCTTTTATTTATATTTAGTTTCCAAATATATATTGTATCTACATTTTTATCTCAATGGAAATGAGAGAACGCCGCAATGCAAAGAATAATTTTTAAAAATGGTAATGAATGAAATGCTACTGATATGTTTAAGGCAATGCTGTGGAATATTACAATAACAGCTCCACAGAAAGGTTATGCAGCACACCTTTAATCAAATGATATATGCAGTAATTTGTCTGTCCAGGAAGGGTTCATAGCAAAGGATGTCGAATTTAATACATATGACTGCTCATCCAAGTAGCTTCCAAGTTCTAATAATCTATATATGTAATAAAGTACCTTGCATTTTCTACAGTTAAACCTTTGCACAAATTGTATTTAAAGAAGAGAAATTGATTTTGCCAACAGGCTAAAGCCATGTGCCTTTGGTTTGTCCTCATTCAGCAAACAGACTGACAAGTCCCAGTGTGTTTGCCCAATCAGCACTTACTCCCTGCTCCCCTTTCGTCTGTCTGCACATCCCTCAATGGGCTGTTCAGCTGATCTCCAAATATCACAGCTCAGTCTGGCCTTTTGGACTCGCCAAGGCAATTGGATTTGGGAACTTTAATGAGAGGATTCAGCCACTGTCTCTTCTGAAGTGACTATAGAAATGCTTCCCCGCATGTTTCCCCAAGGTGCACCATCAACCATAAGCAGATAAATGGATAAGATAAAAGCAAACCTATCCCTCAAGACTATTTATTCCATATGTTTTGCTCTGATGGAAATGTAAGTTAAGAAAACACAGGCAAGCTTGTATTTCTCTTCAGCCAGTCATTCACAATTGATTAAATGTCAAGAGGTATCTGGTGTTACGATGGCCTGCATTTAAGGTTTTGCTTGCACATAATCCGGCTACTTAAGGTATCAGATTCTACAGAGATAATCACTCATAAAAGTGCATCTGCCATTTTGCTTAAATACTATGCAATAATATGATGACGGGTGGATTTGTGCAAAGAAATTGATTTTTCTTTTTCCCTCCAGACATGAGGAGATGGCAAGGACATATGGTGAAAATGGATGCAGTATGGGAAAAATGTAGCTGATATAAATTCAGTCCAGTCCTGTGTGCATATAAGATCAAATTCAGTTCGCACAATAAATGGTTTTAATATAAATTCAGAATTCATTCATTTAAAATTACTATAATTTAAATCAATCTAAACGAAACTAAAGTTAACCCCCCTTAGGTCAACACAAAAAGTCTCAGCAGATCTTATTAATAGCTCATAAGCATAATAAGTGATTTACAAAGCAATACATCTAGAAATAGTCTGTTAAACTGTATCATTTACCTTTCTGAGGGGTAACCGCCTCTTGCTTTGCACTTGTTTCTAAGGAAATATTTTTACTTTGCCTGAAATGTTCCACAGTATGGAATTAAATTACAAATATCTTGAAAATATCCATTCTTGCAGTGAGCAGGGTTGCTTCTTCACAGATCTTAAAGGGATAGTTCGGGTTTTTTGACATGAATCTCTATGGCATCCCCATCAGCAGTGTCGTGCATCCACACTGACTTACCCCTGACAGCGCACGGTCAGCCGAGATCCTGGCCGGTTTTGGTGCTGACGAAAGTAGTCCGGCAAGTTGGCTAGGGACACGAAAATAAAGCGTTTTTCTTCTCAAAGCAGTATGTGTTCAAAAGAGTGATACATTTGCATCACAAAACCTTCATCCTCAAAAAAAGTCAGATCTCATAATCGCTTGGCACTATTTTCTCTCCATTTGTATCACTGCGCGCTGCTGCCAGGTGACAGCCACGTATGGATCCATCACTTTCTTCAGTTGTTCGGCAGTGTTTACATGCGCACACCGCCGCAACGTGAGAGAGCTAACGTGAGAGCTAGAGCGATAAGTATATAAGCTTGTATAAGCTACATAAGAATATATCTAAAAAATGGTGCGGACTTGTGATTATTCAGGCTGTAACAACAAAAATCTGGCTGAATCTCCGCACACATTTCACCGTTTTCCTGTCATGGACATTGCTCTGAGGCGACATTGGCTTCTTGCCTTAGGCTTCAATGTAGAAACCAAAGATAAAAAAGCTTCATGTGTGCAGTGCAATGTGTGCAGTGCGCAATTCAGTGACAAAGATATGTTCCTTCATGCTCAGGACAGAGGAAGAAATCTGTTTTGAAGAGCACTGCTGTACCTGTACCCCTGGTAAGAACAAAGAGGTGCCACTATGTTTACAAGCGGACAGGCGATCAAGAATCAGCAGCAAATCACTCAATGTCTTATCACCAGTGAAGTTTCTACAAAACGTAACGTTATAAGTAGACTGTTACTACTATTGTAAATGTCGCTTACACTATTGGCAGCAACTACGTGGAGGTGTGGATGATTCCATGTTTCTATTAGTAGTCCATGCTTCCAGTCACAGTATAGGCTATATGTTAGCTGTATACGAGTTTCTAAATGACATGATGGTGATTGTCGCTCACCCGGTCTTTCATGGCTCCAGCTGTGGCTCCAGTTTTAACTTGTACCACTTCTCTGTCCCTCCTCTCTCTCTCTGCCTGTTCTAACTCCATCTGGCGAATTTCAGCATCCGTATATTCGGGTTCTTAAAGATATCCCCTTGGCTTTGTGGTAAAGGCAATGTCTTCTTCGTTGGTGTCGTAATCAGACATGTTGTCGCCAACTTTCCGAGCAGTAAACAAAGTGAAACAGGCGCAGCTGTCACCTGGTGGCAGCGCGCAATGATACAAAAGGAGAGAAAATAGTGCCAAGCGATAATGAGGTCTGACTTTTTTGAGGACGAAGGATTTGTGATGCAAATATATCACTCTTTTGAACACATATTGTTTTGAGAAGAAAAATGCTTTATTTTAATGTCCCCAGCGAACTTTCCAAACTATTTTCATCAGCACCAAAACCGGCCAGGATCTCAGTTCACCCGGTGCTGTTTGATGGTAAGTCAGTGTGGATGCACGACACTGCTGATGCCATACAGATTCATGTCAAAAAACCCAAACTATCCCTTTAACAATAACTGCCAATTATGCCATATGGCATACACTGCATGGAAAGAAACAAGTTTAATATCATTCTATGTAAAGCAGGTAAACACTTCGCCAGAAAAGTTACATAGTGTACCTTTGATGTCTGTCGCTATGTTTTCTTACAGGTGTAACTAGAAATAAAGCTGGAAATAGAATTGTGCATTTACTAAATGAACTCAATGAGTACCTGTTCTAGCTGTCCTTGCTGTAGGACTATACATTTCATGGGGCCATATTTTGTGATGTTCTGTTTCAGCTCAGCTAATTTAATTGTGCCAGTCTTGTGTCTCAGATTGACTAACACCAATTAAAACTTGTCAAATCTGTGTTTCTGAAGCTGATCATGTTCCTGTGTGGCAGCTGTGGGAGGCTGCCATGACGTTCTGCAAGATATTTGTCAAAAATATCTGTAGTTAATGTGGGCTCACTGCAGCTCATTTTCTTAATTTTAAATGACATATGCCACCTGTCTTAAAGTAGATTTTTGGTCTTTTAAAATATCTTTTCATCCTAAATAACCTCTTTCTTTATGTCCTCTCTTTTGTTGCCAAGTCTCCCAGGCAGCCTCTGGGACTTTCACCTTTGACATTGGCTTCTTTTGCTCAAAGCCAACAAAAGTGTAACAAAGCACAAAAGAAAAATCAGAAGATTTTGAAGAGTTCAGACCTCTGCAAAAGGCATCGGTCCAATCTTATAAGTTCTAATGCCTGAATAATAGCAGAACTCCAACTCCAATTTGTTAAATATATGCATGCATACTGATGTTAACTACTTGAATGCGTCACCACATTTTACAATGAAATGGACTTGAATCTGACATTACAGTTTTTTTAGGGTTCTGTGAGGTTGATTCTGTGAGACTGACAGTGACTGACTGAAACCATTCAAATCTATTCAAAATTAGCCATGCTTTTCCTGATCGTGTTTGCATATCATTTTGAACAGAATGTTTTACTAGAACAATAATTTGAACTTGGCCCACTCATTTTCCTCAACCTGTTTTCAAAGCCAAAGCGATTGTTGTTCTGTTTTTTTCCACACTATTGTAACCAAATTAACAATGTTGATTTTTGCCTAATCTCTCATAAAACATGGCAGCAGTTCTCAGCACACACTACAGTTATGTCAGTAATTTTTATTCATTTTTTTAATTCTTTTTGAGTGCAGCCGACCTCCCTCATTCCATCTTCCCTTTTGTTAAGTCTCCGCACAGCAGCCTCTGGGACTTTAACCTTTGACGTCGTCTTGTGTCCCTCAAAGGCCTCCTGCTCGGCACAGTCCCCTCCCACTGCTGCTTCTTTTGACTGTGCAGCGTTGACAGCACACCGCCCCCATGCCTCCCCAGGACAATGGCCCTCCACAAAAAGCCTCAGGAGCATCCTCCACCTACGCTAACCAAATTCACCCCAGTTCCCAAGAGACAGCCATAGAAAATCCCATTCTTCTGCCAAACACACATAAATTCACACTAAACCCAACCATTGGTGTTTGTCGAGATTTAGCTGTCAGCCTTGTACTGTACTTTTGGATAAAGAAATTTCTGTGCTCAGGAGTGAGAGAGATATTGAATAAGAGGTGCTACAATTTCATAACCAAATCCATCATTTTTCTGTCTGATTTTTGAAGGGTGTAAGAAGACTTGACAGAGGCAAAGGGGAAAAGAATATGCCAGGTTAAGATACAAGTGTTTGGAATATTCATAATCAAACTGTATTATAATAATGTCATAATGGATATAGATTGTGGTATTTCTGGGTCATGGGTCATGTAATTTGTGTCCTTAATTTGTGTGTGTATTTGAGATTACTCTACAAAACAATGCATGTTGACTTTGATACTCTGGATTTTATTTTTTTAAGAATGGCTACATCATCTGAAATTCCCTCTTTGGACTACAACAAAGTATTAAAAGAATATAATGTTATTTAGTGTCTCTTCTTTTATGTTTTACAGCTGTGAGTGGAGCAGAAGACGTGGCTCTGTACGTGGGCATGGTGGCAGTGGCTCTGTGCCTGACCCTGCTCCTGATCGTGGTGGTCCTGGTGTACCGCAGAAAGAAGGAGGGTCTGGACGCTGATGTGGCCGACTCGTCCATCCTCACCACTGGCTTCCAGCCGATGGGCATCAAGCCCAGCAAGCCAGGTGTGTGGGCCCCGCGGCCCCGCAGACTCCCCCACTGCAGTAGGACACTGTTCTTTGTTTACCCCACGTCTGTCTGACCACCATAGACCACCATCTATATGTACCAGTGATTCAACATCAAAGACACCAACAAAACTCTCGCAATTATAAATATTCTATATAGTACATAAAAGGCATAGAGTCCCTAAACAAAACTTTTGCATAATGTAGTGTATGAAATACAAACACCATCTTTTTGTTTTCTGTTTCACCTTAGACCCCATCCTCCTCCACAATTGTATAAGCTACACCATGCTGTAGTCCTTGGAGAAAAGGCAGGCTTATATGCCCCCATTTCCCTTATGTTGTGTTTAAATGTGTTTATAATGCCCTCCTGTAGATGGATGTTTCTGTTACTGCCTGACACATTGAGTTTCTCCACCACACCACCTTGTTGTCAGGAAATGTTCCTTGAATGTATTCGGTACTGTTCTATACTGTGTGTGTGTGTGTGTGTGTGTGATTACCACACAGTAATCAAAATACAAACCCACAACTGCCTTTGCTGGCTCAAGATGGGGAGTGGGTTGACGTTACTCTGACTTGATGCAAAGGAAAAGCTCCTTATATGTGATTATGCTATGTGCATCTTGAGTTGTGTTGCTAAAAAGGCAGAAGGGGATAGGAGAAATGACTAGCAGTAGGTTACATTTAGTATGTGTTGTATTTCCAGCATGTGTCTTTTCCATTTAGTTCTGCGTTGTGTGGCAACAGCTTTTTACAGTGCGTAAGGTTTGTCTCTGTCATTAACACCTCCTCAACTGCCACTCAGACTCTCACACTCTTGTTTTCTGCTGTTTTTTTATGACACAGAAAATTCCCATTTGCTCACCATCCAGCCTGATCTAACCACAACCACCACAAGTTATCAAGGCACGCTGCGATCACGGCATGAAGGCACAGGGAAGTTTTCCATGTCCAACGGCCCACTCTTGGACCCACTCCCAAACGGATCACACACGCTGCACAATGGGAAGCTAAACCAGGAGCACGCAGAGTTTGTGAGTCGCCTGACCACTCAAACCTACTTTAAAACATTGCCTCGGGACATTGCCAACTCCTCCTATGGAACGTTTAACTTTCTGGGAGGAAGACTGACCATTCCCAACACAGGTGAGTAACAAATGATCACATAAACCCAGGCCATAGTGGACCAAATGTGTTAATTAGCTTTTGTTGTTGTCTGTACTGTATATAATGGCCTATCGTGGTGTAGTGACCATTCAGAGACTACTGGTAACTATAGTAACATCCATGTAGGTATCATTAGTGGTAAATTACTCAGATGGAAAAGCATAGAAAAATCACTGCTACACAGATCTGTTATAAAATTGCCTTTGTACATGTAATGTCTGTCAAGGAAATTGTTCTTCCAGTTTTTTCTGATAAATGGGGATTGAAATCTTGGCTTTATAACAAACATAATATGATGATTTAATACTACTAGCTAAATGCTTGTAGAGTTATAGTTGGGTTTTATTCTGAACTTGCATGCTTACATTGAACTTCAGAAACAATATTGATATATTTTGTATATAGACCTTTTGTATGTAGGCATAATATTCATAAACTTAAACAATAACAAAAAAGATCATATGAAACATTCCGCATAGCCTAAAATTTTATTCTGGCTCAGACTAATTGAATTGTAACATCTGAGAAGGGCTAGCCACAGCAGCCAGTGGGCAGAGTTGACTCAAGCTAATAACTCCAACTAACCATTAGCTCTTAGTATTTATTAGATGAGCAATAGATCACCTGATAGACCTACACTCCCAAACACATCGGGCTCTCTGATGGGTCTTCACTTTCCGCTCACTAAAGGTGTCAACCCCCACATCTGTAATATTGCAGTAGTTAGATGGGTCACTAAATACATTTGATTCTGACATGCCAGGTTCTAAGGAAATTGTCACACAGTCTACTTAGGAGCGAAATGGTAGAATTTGTAACTGATGTCCTCTGTCAGCTGTGCACCCAGAGCCGTGGAACAGAGATGGTCAATTAAAGATCAGTTTGATAAAAGATTTAAGCCCATCATTATTAATCCCATGATTGCTCCGCTATTCCACATTAGCTAAAGATGGTGTTTTCATTTCAATCGGCTGCTCAGATTGGTACATGCCAGTGCTAGTATGAAAAATGTGTTCTGTTTTTCCATTTTGTCTTTTATAAATTTGTTATGTACGGGTTACTTCAGAGCCTTGTTTACTATAGTATGCACGAACTGTTGTCGTACATTATAGACAAAAAAAATCCACACCTTGAGTGTTTCCACTTAAAGAAGGTGATTTTGCATAGTGTGTGGTGTGTGAATGAGGATTATGGTTTAGACAGAGCTGTTTGCATTTCCACATTTTTCCTTTAAATCGAGCATGTTTTTTTTGTTTTTTTTTTTCGTTTTGTTTTGCTTTTTCATTGTGCAATCCCAGATAACAATACTGGAGCATTTAAGGTTTTGTCATAGTTAGTGCTAGCCCCAAAATGAGATTCTAAGTGGATGATTTTGGCACAAGAATTGCAAAAACATCACAGCACTCACCGCACCTCAATAGCTCTTCTATTCTCCAAGGTGCATTCCGACGCTCTCCCGGGAAAGCAAGATTTTTCCGAAGTCGTCCCTTCAATGGTCTCAATTATCTACTCTGAGGCAGACAGGGGACATTTAGACCGCAACGCAACGTGTGCTTTTGTCTCTGCTAATTGTTGACCGTGGGGACACGTGCCTCGTCTCAGTTGGCGGCACAGAGATTTGCATCTTTACCGCACCTGACAGAGAGCTTCCACTGACCTTCAGAATACATTTGTGGTTTTTGTTTTTCGAAGCATACGTTTTTTTGTTGAGTGAGCCAGTATTCTTTGTGTAATGACAAAAGCATTGTGCAGGGGAAAACAAATGAGTCTACTCTCTGTTCTCACCCACTTTCTTTGCCTTGTTGATATTTGCATTAGGGATCAGTCTGCTCATCCCTCCCGAGGCCATCCCCAGAGGCAAGATCTATGAGATTTACCTCACCGTGCAGAGAAGGGAAGATTTAAGGTGGGTCTGTTTAACACTGTCTAACTGGCAATCTTCCCTGGATGCTACTAGGGCTGTTTGTTTTGATGCACTACTGTTCCATTAGGAGGGCTTTAGAGGCTGTATGCGGTACTCTGAAGGAGAGATGTAAATAAATAAGCAGCCGTTTACCAGGATGTGCACTATTTAAGTTAAATGAATTGTCTGGAGCACTGCAGTCAGTCTCTGTAAGCACACCTACTGTACTGTTCATCCAGCAGGGAGTCTGTAATGACTTGTTGATTGTATCAAACTCTGTACATCAATAACATGATAACATTTTAGCACTTTGTGTGTGTAGGTTGCCTCTGGCTGGCTGCCAGACCCTGCTCAGTCCTGTGGTGAGTTGTGGTCCTCCGGGGGTGGTCCTCAGTCGCCCTGTGATCCTCAGCATGGACCACTGCTCCGACGCTTGCCTGGACAACTGGGCTGTGCGACTCAAGAAGCAGAACTATGATGGCGCCTGGGAGGTGAGGCCACACTAAGTTCAGTGCAAAACCTTATTATTGTTTCCATCCAGTGAATTTGGGAAGTCAGTCTGAACTGACTTCTTTTCTCAGAGAAAGTAATAACTTTCTTTGCAGTGGCACTTGAAAGCACTTGATTTTGATGGAGAAGGTTCTGGCCAATTCATGGCCACTTTATAATGTTTAAATTATATTGGCCATCAGGTGTTTTCTCAATGGACTGGAACAAAAGCCTGGAAGCAGTGGAGCTGTCAGCTCCAGAGTTGCTAGGCAACCTGTTTCTGAAAACAGAATTTCTCTAAGCAAATTACTGATCCTCAAATACTCTTCTGAGTGCTCCTTGACCATTTTTGACCGCTGCTTCCAATTACAGAGTTCCCTCCTCATTTTTCTAGCCATGAAATTCAAAAGTAGCCTACACGCTGAAATTCCAATAAGAGCGAGTTGGGGAGCACCTTTGGTGCTGAAACGCACACACCCATACAAACAAATGCAGCTGGCAGCAGAATAGCCATCTGAACCAACCAGAGAGATTGGAATGGGTGCTAGTGGGCTTTGGAGTGTTAGTAGGTCTTCTTTCATGTTCGATATTGTGCATAAATAATTCAGCATCCCCCTGTGTGGTGGTGGTTGGTGTCTGCGGGATGGATTGGCCTGTCTGAGGCTGAGGTTAGACCAGCTCTTTTAATCATCAGCACGACCAAATATAGCCCCATCGGCCTCACTGCATGGCCACTCCAGGAGGAAGTGCCAGGTGGACAAGATGTTCAGGGAAAACAGGTGAAATAGGAGTCAGGGACAAAGGCAAATAGACAAGCAGATAATGTAGATCTAGGGCAGTGATTAGAAGTGAACAATGGAAATATTTCACATACTGATGGAAGCAGGTGAAAATAAATAAAGTGCTTATTGAATGGTCTGATGGTAATCAATCCCACTTACACCTACATCTTAAAGAAATATTATATGTTGAAATAAAGTCTGTGTGCACTGTGGTTACATGGAAAATGAATTGTGTCAATACTAATTCCATTGATGTAGTCAGTGACTGGGTGGATCGATTTTAAAGGGGCTCGCTGGGCATTTGGCAGCCACAATGCTCTTTTCATTTCAGCTTGATTAGTTAATGGGCAGAGTCAGTAAAGAGCTATGATGAGGTTAAGAATGCATTTTTGTCACCTTGGATCCAATTTGTACATATCAAATTAGCCAGAAAGGACACATAAGTCAGACAGTTCATAACAAGTCAAAATATTATAAAATATTATGTCTAGAAAGATGCTAGAAATTCCCCAAATTCCAATAACTGAATCGTCACCACATCTCCACTTACTACTTTATTTGTATTTTATTCTACTGTCTTTATTTTCCTTAAACTGTGTCTTCTTGCCTGGAATCTATTTGCTTGTGCTTTCATGTCAATTGAGTCCATCATTCATGCATTATTAACTAAATTGATGGTTTTCTATAGGATGTGAGAGTCTCAGTCTTAGAGTCAGTATGTTGTAAGCCTTCTGCGGTATTCAGGGAATTTGAGGCAGGAACAAAGTATTCCCCGTGCCCCTGATATAAACCCTCTGGTGCATTACCTTAAAGACTTTAAGCTCTTGTCTTTCTTTTTCATGCTGCTGGACTGATTGCGCAAACCTTTAACAAAGATGCGAGCACAAATGAACAAATCACCCTTGCTTTCTACACAAATAGAGCTTAAAGGTGCACTATAAAAACATTTTGGTAGTTGGTCCATCACCTGCTTATTTCTATGGATATGTCATTGCTCTGCCTGGAATGTTCCACAGTATGACATTAAACAACTCTACTTTACCTTTATTAAACTATAGGTGATTTTAGAGCTCAAAAAACATACAAAAACATGCATTCTGAGTGTGAGAGGACTTGCCTCTCCACAGATCTCCACTGACCTGCAACTTGGCCTGGTTTGGTGTCTATGAAGAGTGCCTTACTGTGAAAAGGATTTGACAGACCCTCTAACGGAAAAGTTACACAGTGCACCTTTAACCTTCTCCTCCCATCCCCCTTTAGGACGTCCTGCTGATGGGCGAGGAGCCGGTGGCAGAGCCCTATTACTGCCAGCTGGAGGCGGAGACGTGCCGGCTGTTTGCGGAGCAGCTGGGCACCTTCGCTCTGGTGGGAGAGTCTCTTCACATGGGTGCTGCCAAACGCCTCAGACTGGTGCTCTTCTCAGACGCCTACTGCTCCACACTGGAGTACAACATCCGGGTGTACTGCATGGATGATACGCAGGATGTGTTCAAGGTGAGCGTGACATTTCACTGTTTCTATTCAGTTATATTTGTATAGTGTTTTTAAGTTTTCATCCAAAGCAGGTGATAATGTGAAGATAAAAGTACAGCACTAGTAATTTGCCAGTGTGGGTAGGTTTAGTGGCAATTACTCTTCCCACTTTGAGTAAGTCTACAAGTGACTAGTTTTACACTGAATTCCTTTTTTTTTTTCCTTTTTTCAAGTATCCTTTGATTCACAATTTGATGTTAATGTATTTGTAAGAACAAAACTAAATAATACTAAACCTCAGGTATTACAAGCAGACAATCATGCTTACAGTTACTCTCACTTGGGTAGTTTCTGAGAATACTTTTTTTTTTTTTTTTTTTTTTTACTAACTTTTTTAAACTTTTGGTTACTCTAGCCACCCCTGGTAGTTTTGTCATAACACACAATGGTGTGTCTATGTTGGGACCCTGCCTATTGAGATGTTTCACTGCTTCACACTGTGAGCCGTTCTGCTCGGCTGCTGCGGGCCACTTAGTTTCCCATCACTTAGTACAACGCCATACCCCTCTTTTCATTTTTGTGCTCCACATGGACAGAGTATAATCAAGCACTAATGCCTGCCTGGCTCCCCTGAGGACTGCCTCTGAGTAGCCTGTTAAGATTTCATTTACATGCTTAATTACTAAATTAAAAGGAGAGCCTGTCCCCATCTTTTCCCAGCATCCCCTCTGCTCCTTTTCTCTCTCTCTTAAACTCTTGTCCTACACCTACGCAACTACAAGTGCCCCCTCTCTCTCAAGTCCTCTTTGGGTGCCTGTAATGGCCGACCTTCTTGTACACAGGAGCTGCACGTGGACAATTTATGGATGCCACAAACAATGGAGTGGGCTTCAGATGGAATTAGTGCACTTCTGTTTAAGAAGCTCAAGAACTTCATGTACCTCATGACAGTAGCTAAAAGGCTGTTTGTGCAGCTCAAGCTTTTTCTGTGATGCACATCAGACAAATGCATAGCATTTGATGGTAAATGAATATAGTTAACCGTGTCAAATATATTGTGCTTTGTCCACCTTGATGGTTTATATAAGTCAACAGAACATATTTGTGCTAGCTACCTCACTGAAGAAACATTTATCTACCAACAGTCGCTATAGTAGATGAGAAGGATTTTCTTTAAATGCAGAACAACTAATTTACTTTATTTTTCTTTGTTAGGAGTATCTCTTACGACTGGTTACTTCACATATCACAGAGACAGTGTTGTTTTGCTGCAGTGTAACTGCTGAATGACCTTGTATGTCCTGTTTGAATGCATACGCCTGCTACTGCACAAAACTCTTTCTTTGACTCTCTCAGCCAAGAAAAGGACATCTGAGCTTGTTGACTCCAGCACTTGTGCTGCCATACATGGGTCTCCCCTGACGCCCTTGAGTGCATTAGCCTGCGTCTCTCTCACAACCTGGGCCTGTGGTAAGCCACGGTGTCTCCAGGGCTTTGTACTTTTTAGTGAGTGATTTAAAACATGGCCCACACTGTTTAGCAGTCCTGACTTCACACAGCTTTTGGTGCGATTATGGAAGGAGCAGTTCATTTAGCAACTACATTAACCACTTTGAATGGCGATTAAACTTCCCTGGAGAGGTTCAGCCTAATCACTAATCACTATCTTTAAAATGCACCATTTATGATTAGACTTTCACTATGGTAAGCATTAGACTTAATTGTGATGAGGAAAGGCAGCAGTTGGTGGTTCACTCAAGTGGCTCAAGACTCAGCGTTATGATTGTGCTGACATCATGGTTACACCAGCACATGGGGACTTTAATGACTCTCTACTAAAGTAACCAACACTCCATATATTCAAAACATGTTGGATTGGAGGTCAAAAGGTCCTCCCTATGTTGTGGAAGTAAACTCCAAATGTGAAGCAGAGCTGTGTCAGTATTGCCTTGCTGGCCTCATCAGCAGGAGAGACACATCCACACTTATGCATGCTGTACCATCCCATCTCTTATCTCCCAATTACAGATTAGAACCAGTGTTATTGTCTTTGATCCTGAGTGTGCGGCGGCTCTGGGGAGGCAGTGACATTTCTGTCTGATGCCCGCCGTATGTTAGCGGGGTTCTGCCGGGACCAATTAAGTTAATATTTAATGTGTATCCCAGTCTTGATGGGATGGTCCAAGGCTGGCACAGCAGCTGACGAGACACAATCTGTGTGTGCTTGTGCCCTCGCTATGCGTGCACTGGTTTCATCTGCACTGGTGAGAGAGAGACTGATGTGGTGCCATTGACACACCTGCCACTCCCCGCTACCTCGACATAAGACCCCATTATAATTTTAACTGGAAAAAGCCCCATCAAGATTGTTAGTTTTTAGAATTTGGAATACCAACTTTGCAACTGATATCAACAACATTCCCTGTTGGTGTGAAGCTCTGCTCTGTCTGAAGATCTGTTAATCTAGACTTTAATCTGGGTTTTGTTTAACACAATCTGAGCAGAAAGAAATTATTTTGCTGGGACTACGACAGGTGAGATGATTTTTCAGTTTGTCACTTTCATCATTTTAGTTGAAAATCAAACACAAACAGTATTGATCACAGGCTCCTGAAAATGTGTTTAAATCCATTTTGTATTTTTTCTTGAGTTTTCAGACTTAAAACTTTCTTGCCAGTGTGTGCAGTGTGTTATCATGGTGACGTCTAAACATTCGGTCATAAACATACAGGCAGAACACCCCCAGCGTGATGTTACTGCTAAGTATCAATAGGCTTTTTCATTTTGGTGTTGTGGGCCTGTTACCATGTAAGCTTTTATACTGAGATGAAGAATACTATGTCATAAAATGTAATTAAAGCAGAAAGGATCAAGGTTAGAAGTTTAGACTGGCTGTATCATGTTATTATATATGATTTTTGTTTTTACCTGTTTTACATTTTTACCTCATTTACACGTTTTGTTTTAACAGTGGATGGACCAAGCAGGTGTCTGTCAGCTAGTGATGTTCTTAAAATTACATTCCATGTCCAGGATAATCCCTGTTTTTTTTTTAAGTAAAAAATAACAAACTTCAGGGTGCTCATAGATGTCCTTCTGAATGCCCACGCAGTTGTGTTTTGTGAGACTAGTGTTTTCAGTTTCAAAAGAAAAAAAAAAAACATGATTTCTGTACCACCCACTTTGTGTCAGCTTAATTTTTATGGAGGATGAAACACTATTGCAGAGTTCTGTGCCCAGCATTACAATGTAAAGCAGGGCAGGTTGTAACAAATTTCACTATTGTTCCCATAATAGTTAAAAGAGTTCATAAAATTCAAAGCTCAATATTTGAGTTAAAACACTTTATTGTAACTGTTGTATTACAGAGTTCTAAATTTATGCTTTCATCAATATTTATGCATTGAGCCCAGGACATTAAGCTGCTGCAGCTGAACAAATGAGTGTTCTGCTGTTTTAAATGTCTTTAACTGAGCTGACAAAGGGTTGGATCTGATTTATTTATCATTTCTGTCAGTATGCTGTCCAGTGTGTGTTCCAGAGGTTGAACTTTTTACTCTTTTTAGTTAACCCACTGGTTCTCAAAATGCATCTGCTGGTGCTTGGGGTCATTTCTTTTAAATAATATTTTGATTATTTTAAACTTCATATTATTCAGTTTGACTTTGTCCATATTTAGATATGGTTAAATCCTATTTTAGACCTGCTTTAATACAATTACTTTAGTTCTGCTCTTAGTGGTTTTTCTGAGGTGTGTACTTTGTGTGAAAATTACTTTTCTAACTCTGCTACAGTGAACGCTTTAGTAATTTCCAGCTTAAACTTTCCAACTTAAAAAGATGTAGTAATACAGTGGAAATGTTTTTTACATTGAACTTTCTCAACTGTCATGTGGCTATATTGACATCTAAAGAATAATAATAATAAACCCTTCATTTCATTGAAAGGTTTATTATTTACCAGGTTGAGGTTCTATAATACGCTTATTTGTGGCAAATGCATATAGTCTTGTGTCTGTAATCCTCTCGATGTACAAAAACTTGCAGTGTTTCGCCTAAGTAATTGCCAGCATTAGGTTAGAGAAGACAGTCTGCTTTATCACAGCGCGCTGCAGAGAAACCGTTTCCATATTATATTTCGGTCTTCCAGGGTGCTGTTTTTCTCCCTCCTGTGCTGTGATTTATCATGCAAAATGTGCACCTTTTCCCAAGCAAACATGCACTCCATTTGTAACTAGCTTAGACAAGTCCCTTCTATTTGTAGTTATTAATCAGCGTTGACTGTAGCTGGCAGGGCCAGTGCAGCTCAGACTGATAGACTCTCCGTCAGAGGAAAAGCCTGTCACGTCGCACTGACAAATACACAGATTTATGAAGCCCACATAGCCAGGATACTCGTTCTAAACAAATGCATTTGGCTGAAAGGAGCTGCTCTGAAAATGGATCATCTCTGAATGCATATATTTAAAAACACAGTGAATGCAGCAGGAGCAGTGTAGTGAGGGGGGTTTACAGGGAGCTCCTCGGTCTGTTTCTCTACTCAGACACTTGACTAATTAAGCGATCAAACACTAGTTATAATCCCTGTTGTACATTGCTAGTTAAGATAATCACTTTAGTCTACGACAAGTGTTCAATTAGGACCCTGTGTAGGAGCATGACCTTCCTGTGGGCCAATTTCTTCAGAATCTTTGAATTGTTCACTTCACTATAGTTTTTAAAGCCATCCTGCCAAGCATACTGCCCAGATGTATAAAACTAGTAAAAATAATAATAGTAATATTAATAATAATAATAATGCTGTTTTTATTTTAAATCTTAATCAGGGGTAATTAGATTTTTGTTTAGTTTTTTTAAACTGAAATGTACAATAAAAATTTCTGGATAGACCTATTACTGTTAAGAGTTAGTGTTTCATTGAATCAGTGACTTGAATAATGATTATTATCGTACTGCTAGGGTTCTCAAAGCAGGGGCCTTAGAGGCAGAGGGGGACCCCAAATGTTGTCTACATACATCAAGCACATACAAGAAAATTTAGTTGGAAATGCACTTTGTAAATGCATTTGGTTAGATGCATTAATATTCAAATTAAATCCATTATTTGTATTATGCATATGCAAATCTAAGAAGAAAAACTAATCATATTCTTTTGAATAGAGAGCAAAATCTTATTCGGAAAGTTCCTGAGGGATCTTCAGATTGATAACATTTTGGGCTGTTGCACTGTATCCCCAAATGTACCAAATTCAAAGCAATTTGTCCTTGACCCATCACTCTCTTCTATAAATGACCCAAGATAAATATTTATTACAGCACATTTAGCTCAGCATTGTCTCACCTCAGTATAACCTTTGCACTGTACAAACTTTAGTTTAGGATGTTTTTGTGCAGGGGTCCGATTGGGTTTGTTGTTGCTGCAGGAGAGCGTGTGGTGCTGCCTCTAACCTCTTTCTGTCAGTAAGGGCCCGCAGAGATTAGCTGTTTGAGTGTCTCTTGTTTCCCGGTGGAGCCTGGCCCCGGTCCATCTCTGTCCCAGCTCTGGCCCAAGCCGAGGGGATGCTAGACCAGTGAAGGGGGGCGGTGGGAGGGTGGGGAAGGGGTTTGAAGTCATAGAAAAGTGTGTCCATGATTGCAGTAATCCTGTTATCTGGGCTGCTAAAGCTGGCCACTCTAGTGACCTGCAGACACAAATGTTAAGCTGCTTCTGTCTCTGCTCTCCTGCTCCGGCTCCTTTTCCACTCTTGCCGCTCTCTCCCTCTCTTTAGTCGGCCTCATTGAATGTCAGGGGGTGGTCTTGACTCCAAATTCACAGTCCTCACACACACCACAGGCCATCTCACATTCCGTCAGAACAAAAAGTCTTTTTCTCCTGCAGCACTTGAACTCATCACCCGCCTCATGCATCTTAATGTGGAGCGGTTGTATAGGGTCAGAATGATCTAATGACATTACTCATCACCAGTTTTATGATGAATATGCAATTTCTGAAGTTATTAAAAAACTACATTGTTTTTGTGCAGAAAGAGTAAATAATCTGCTCAGATTGAGCGTCCCATCTATTAGCCAAGTGTCATTTGTTAACAGGATAATGGGCCGTAAAGAGGGCCATTATTCTCTCAGTTCAGAACATATGCTGAAATGCGGCAGTCACACGCTGTCATTTAGAGAGGACACAGGGGCGGTGTGCAGCTGCAGCCTACTCCTGTCTTTGCTGTCTGTCAGGTACACACAGGAGCATGTCCTAGACCTGTTAGATCCTAATCCTGCCGTGTCAGCCTTGAACCTGACAAACTGCAAGACAGGCCAGTTAGTATTCACTCTAGTAACGTGATGTTGATAATGGGATAATTGGCATTCTGCTGTCTTTGCCTTGCCTTGCTAGCAGCGGTATAGATCAGTGCTACAGGTCAAAGACCTGATCAAAGTCCACCAGCCCTGATTTGCATTGCTAATCAGTCCCAACAAATAAATGTGCTTAAGAACTGTGTTAAATGAGGCGCTTTGGATGGCCTCATAATGTGCCTTTGTCTGGCTAACAGACATAATAGCAGTGGGGTTTTTAATTCTGTGGAGAATGCTCTGCCCCCTGTTATTAACTCATTAGACCTCAGCGCTTTGATTCACAGCTCTGTCTGACCTTCCCACTCTGAGCAAGTGGTGGTCTAACATCACAAGACTGCAGCACGACAGAAGCTATGGCACAAAACATTATATATGTTAGCTGCACTGTGGCATTTGGGCGAGAGGCAAAAGAAATCAGGCACGATAATCAGGAAGGGCATAATATTCATGTTAACAAGTTGATAAGCTCTGAGCAAACATCCAAATTAGCAATTCACCAAGCAAGCAGAAATGTATTTCTCAGGCTCAGTTGCTGGGTGCTCTTTCAGGGGAGGAGAAAGCATAGAAGTAACATAAGCAGGCATACATTCCAAACAGATAATTAACAGCTTCTTCTCCTTCCTAATTTAAATCAGCCCTGCCCATTCTTGGGAACAAGGGCAGAAAATTGAATCACTGTACAGACGGAAATTGTCATTTTCTCCTTGACTTGATGTGGTTTCAGAAACCATACCATGGGAACTCACGCTGACAGTCATTCAGTATATAGCCATCATTCACCTTATACCACTCTTCAACGCTGTGGTGTTTTAGATGTGTCCAGGCTCATTTCTGTCTTGCATCTCATCCCTATTTTTTTCCCTCTGCTAATTGCAGAGATTTGTTTTTCACTCTTGTAATATGCTCTCCTTGTTGGAGCGCAAGACGGCTAATCTAAATTCTTTTTACACAGTATAGCTCTTTAATGGCAGCACAAATCTAATACATTTATATATCAGAGGAAAATGGAGCATGCTATTCCAGATGGTCATTTGGATGAAGACAAATGAGACAAAAATTAAAGATTAAAATGTTGTACATGGTTCTACAAATATATCCTGGCATTAAAACAAAAATTTAATTCAGGAGTTTTGCCATCAAGAACATTGTCCATGTGACAAAAAGCCAACTGACTCACCTCATCTCAGCTCAGGTAAACAGAATATTATGTTGTTTCTGAAAATGCACAGGGAAACAGGGATCAACCTTGTGATGGCATTAATGCTCAGGCCTGGGCCAGTCTGCTGTGTCTGAGCACAGTGACACTATCTTCTAGCCAAATATGTGCCATGCTGTTTTCTCACAAACCTTTTGTCCTTTTAAAATTATTTTGTAAAAACAAAAGTTGACTTGGTGTAAAATTGATAAAGAATGGTTTAGATTGTCAATGGTCAGTAATAGTCATTAATACAAGCTTTACCTGATTGATTTAACAGAATATAATGGAACAGCACACAGTTATACATTTTCTAAGCCATACAAGCTAAGCTCTTATTTGACACAATGAACTGTATTAACAAGCTGACACTCTCCACCAAGATTTCAGTCTTTTCAGTCTAATTTATTTGTGTAGAAAAACAAAAATGTAGCTGTGGCTTGCTACAGGTGTTCCAGTCAGGTAGAGTGCTTTTGGAAAAAACAAGGATCAAAACAAAATCCAGGTATAAAAGTTGTTTGAGGAAAAGTATAGTTAAAAAGCCTTTATTTAAATGACTAAAGCCATTTGACCATTTACACTCTTCATCAGGGTTTAGTTAGAATCATGCAAATTTGTTTTTGTTTTGTCAGGTCAATTTTTCCCCCTTATACTAACAGAAAACTACTACATTATTTCCTTTGAACAATGTTAATAAATACTGTGGACAATTTGATCAAGAGTGTGGCACAATGTTATGATGTTATAACTCTTCAAGTAAAAATAGCACAAACAAACACAATAATATTTAGAATAGCCAGCTCCATGGAGACAGAGCCACATTGAGTTCCACTTGAACAATTTACTAAAGCAGGAAACGTGTCTCCAATTATACTGTTTTTCCTCTTTGGTGTTTGTGTTTTTAGGAGGTGATGGAGATGGAACGGCAGCTTGGTGGGCGCCTGATTGATGAACCTCACGTGCTGCTTTTCAAAGACAGCTACCACAACCTCCGTCTCTCCATCCACGACATGCCCCAGGCGCACTGGAGGAGCAAACTGTTGGCAGGATACCAGGTGTGTGCCAGGGCCAGCCAGGGGGCATGGGACCAGGGCAGTCACTGCACATCAGGGAGGGACCACAGACGTGTAATACAAGTGCTCTGTCCTATCTGTGAATCAAAGGTTATTGGACTTGCAAGCTCATTTGTAGGTATTGAAGATGCAGAAAGCCTGGGGTTCTGAGTTATATCAAATTGGCTGTCCTGAGAAATTAAAGGTGCACTACGCAACTTTAACTGTGGGGAGTCTGCCGCTATGGAGATGTTATTGCTTTATCTGGAATGTTCCACAGCATGGTGTTTACCTTATTTGCATGCATTTATTCAATTACGGGTGTTGTTATTGCTCAAAAAGACCTAAGAAAAAAGACCTATGAAAAACATAAGTTGTTTACATCAGTGAATGGGGTGGCCTCTCTACAGATCTGATCTAAAACTACCACCTGCTTAATTTCATGGAAATAGATAAGTTGAATGCCTCACTGTGGAGCATTCCAGGAAAAGCAATACAGTTTCCATTGAGTCAAGCAGGTGCCGGACCTTCCACCACAAAAGTTGCATAGTGCACTTTTAAATAAGAGCTGTGCACTTTGATATTTGTATATTTATGTGCATTTTTTCAGTTGTATTTTGTTATAGTCTGCATCTCTTAGATATAGATTTGGTTTGATAGGAAAAGTTACCTAAAACTTTGTGTCCCTGTGCAGTGCAGTATACTGTTACATGAACAGTAGTGTGCACAAACTTACATCTGATTGATTATAGCTGCCCGGGTTTTCTCCGAGGTACCGCTATGAAGTAGAACAGTATGTAAATAAGTGCAGCCTGATTCTTGAACCTCTGCACCTCGTCACACCTGTGTTTCCCACTGCTGCCCTGTTGTGGTGGTCCCGGTCTGTTCAAAGAGGAGGAGAAAGTGCTCTGCCTCTGTAACTCTGTAACCACTGTGTCCCTGAAGAAAACACATGCGAGCCACAATGTCCCCCACCACAGAGGCTGATTCCTCTGGACTGCGTCTGTTCATTTGGAAGTGTTATTCCCCTCTCAGCAGTGCGGTCAAAAAAGGCCTTTAGTCTCCCTGGGGCCGCTGGAAGACTAGTATGCTGTCAAACTCCAGCCCCCACTGTTGTGCTTTATCCGCCTTTGTAACAGTGCCCCCGTTTGGCACCTGCTGTGTACTGCAGGCCTCACACTCTCAGTATGAGTGATGAGCTGATGAGAGTGAGAAGTGGGTGTGCCCTAGTGCTTTTGGAGTTACCCCTCAGTGCTTCTCAGGGGATATGTAAACTAGCCATGAATATGCAGCAAGAGGGAGAGAGAGATGTAGATATTGTCAAGCTTGAATAAATTCTCCTTTACCTGGAAGGCAGAGAGAGGCGCACTGTGAATACCATGAGGTCTATACACAATGAGTGGGTTATTAGGAAGTGGTGCTTTACTTTATCCACATAACGATTATTATTATTATTGATACTTATCAAGTGTAAAATGTATAATTGAGTAAATAAATCTAATTGCGGACATAAAAATGTCATCTTCAACATAGCCACATATATTCCTTACATTTTGGCATCATAAGATTATACAAACATCCACAATTTCTTTGATGTACTAGGGAAGTTCACACCTCTTTTTGAAGACAAAATTCTACCTGTGAACCTGTCCCACCAGATTTATTCAACACTTCCCACTCTACAGTGACAACCTCCCTGTCTGTAATTAATGTGCACCCAGATGTTTTTGGAGAAAGATGGTGGAGTGCTTCTGACGGTGGCCACTCACTGCTCTGCCGCATTGTTGTGTGTCTTACAGGAGATCCCCTTCTACCACATCTGGAACGGGTCCCAGCGGTACCTGCACTGCACGTTCACTCTGGAGCGCCTGAGCCTGAGCACCTGCGAGCTCACCTGCCAGCTGTGTGTTTGGCAGGTGGAGGGGGAGGGCCAGACGTTCAGCCTTGACTTCAACATCGCCAAGGTAACACTCGCCAATTTGTTACCCGTGTGCAACTCTAATTACAATTCCCCCGATGTCACCCTTTACAGCTTGCATCTCAGTAGTTCCTGGTTAAGGCTGTATTTTTAATGTTTGTTTTATACATTTAATGAGGTTTTATGGATAAGCTCAATGGAAAGGTCCAAAGCCCATAAAACTAGAGAGGAATGCAGGAGGACATCTGGTGTAAAGCCCATGCTAAATCAATATGTTAATTGCTGCGCACCTGGAGACTGCTCATTTGATGTGACCAGAAAGGAGAATTTTATTACATTTTTTAGAGTAGATGTCTAAATATACAATTTTGCAACAGATATTTACAAAAACAAAAGTTATTTCAGAAATACAATAGCCAAATAAACATGGGATTGATTGAAATGTGTCACAATTAACATGGCCAAAATAATTGCTATGTTACTTTTAAAATTTTTTGACAGTTTAAAAATTTTATGGAAATGTACTCAAATGACAATGTAAAAATGATAGTGAAAACAAGAAGAGAACATGGATAAGTAGTTTGATAAAGATTATCACAATTATACAAAATTTGCCTTGTTATTGCCTTCCTTTTTAATTGTGATTAGCAACAATTGTTATTGTTTATTGTCCCACTTCTAAGGGTAAGTGATTCCTCTTTTGGAAAAACTGTGCTTGTCTATGTCTAACAAGTAGGTGGGTCTATTATAACTGGAACCTTTACTAGACGAAAGTATATCACTGTGGGTTTACTATGTCATCCATGGGCTATATTATTCAGTCTAACTTGTGCCATCATCACCTATAAACCTGACTGTTCTGTGTATTGTGGTCTATGTGCAGGACACCCGGGCGCTGGACTCAGAGTTTATGCTCATGGACAGTAGCAGCACAGCCCTGGCCGGTCCCAGCGCCTTTCAGATCCCGTACCTCATCAGACAGAAGATCTGCAGCAGCCTGGATGCCCCCTGCCCCAACGGAGCTGACTGGAGAATGCTAGCACAGAGACTTAAACTGGAGAGGTAAACATATAAAACACACATATTTATACTCAGAGGAAGGCACCATGGGATTGAGATTTTATACTTTTCTTGCTGTTTAGGTTAAGAAAAAATATGAAATTACATTTCCTATTATATTTCTGACCTATAAATTCTTTTCTCATTATCACATTATCACTCTTTTTTTTATCGCGTACCAAAACCTGTATTTTCTCTGCTCGCTTGCACTATGAACGAGGGATTTGTTGGGATCATTACAATATTTTAACCTTGTAAATGTGACAAATAACTCTTGAACCACAAACACCAACATATGTTTAAAAAAACAGTTCACACACTCATTTTCATTTGAAATTGTAGGTTATGCCTAGTAGATACAACTAATTTGTTTTGCACTTCTGTTTGCTTACAGTACCTTTCAATGGTACATACATTTTTAGTTTTGCATCCAAATGTGCAATGGTTTGTGAACAGATATTTCAAGCCCTAAACTACAGTAGATGTTGACTGAGGGTTACCATGGAAACCTCATCAAGAGCACCTTTGGCTCCACACGGCGTTTAGTTAAGGCTCTTGAGAATAGAGGTCATCAAGCACTTAAAGCCTGCTCATTGAAAATAATGAAGAAGCAATCATCCCAATTGTCAAGAGCCATACTCAAGGTTCAGAGGTGAAAAGATCAGCCCATAATTGTATTTACTCTAGAAATTTGTCACTTGAATAATGTCACCTTGAGAGGTAAGTAAATGAATTAAGATGGTACAATTATTAATGACTACATGAACCCTGCATGGTACTTTAATTTGAAACCAGGTAAGAGGCTTATAGACCACGAAGAAAAAATTCTAGTGGCTCAGTTTTGTTTAGCAGTTTTACACAGTAATTGGAAATCAAGAAGGCACAGTGTCCATCAGAGGCCAAAAAAGACAGAATGGGTTTGGAACAGTGCCCAAGAGCAAGCTATTTCTTCACTGTTACAGTACTACCTGCAACAGCAAAGCCTCACATTGATCCCCATCCACCAATTTAATTTTGCCCTGGTAATGAAATCAAATAGGTACACTTAATTTGTACAATCAACTTTATTCAACCCAATTAATCACAAATTGAATTGATGCACTACAGCCTTAATTAGCAATGTTTTGCTCAACATAATCAATTCTCATTTGGACTATAGAGCAAAGGAACAGAGGAGCTGCTGTTTGGTTTGTCCCTAACAAGTCGAATGCTGCAGCAGCCTGGCGACGTGTCATGGTGTATTTCTGTCCTTTGTTTGTGCGTAGCGTTCAGACTGGGACCAATCAATAAAACTTAAAATGCCAAGAACCTTTCATTTGATCTTTTTCTCCCTAGACGGTGCAAACGGCTGCGCGCAAGCCGTACAAGATAAGCTTGTGTTTCACACAGAGAGGTGAATAAGCAGGGCTGACACGTCGGACACTAAGCTTCGACTTTTTTTATCTGAATAATGTCACAAAGCCTGCTTTCTTGGCTTTTTTTCTGACCACCGCTTCCTCGCTTTTTAAAATCCAATCAACTCAAAAATAGCCCAGTGACTTCTTTAAGCCTGTCATGCCACTGCATCCAAGCTTCAACACATCACCGAGCAAACAAACTAGGAACTTAAAATGGACTCTGTTTGACCTTCCTAAAGGTGAAAAGTGCTTTTTGACTTCCTTTTTCCCCTCACACACTACACAGTCCCCCCTTTGTGCCAAATGCTTTCTACCACTCTGGGCTTGCAATGTCGCGTGTGCACTACATAACTGTTAAACCCCCAGACATTTGAAGGAACAGAAAAAGGCCATTAAATCAAACAGGCATCTCCAGGTTCCACGGGGATCAGCTCCTACACAACATCAAATATAGAGGCGCGCCGGGCCCCTGCTTTGTGGGCATTGATTGTGTTTGATCGTAAAGGTTCTGCTGCCAAAATGGAAAAAAGGTCACTTCCGACTTAGCTGTAAAGTGCGTATAAGATTTGTTTAGTGGGATTTGGGACCAATTTCAACATCAAATAAAGACAGAATGGGGCTTATATGTTGTTAAATGAAAATTGCAGGGGATTTTGTGTTTGAAGATGCTTTCAAGAGCTTCCGTTTATTTTTATTTTTTTACTTGAACATGTTAGAGCAGATGATTGTAATATAAAGTGTAATAAAAGTTGACATTGACAGACTCACCAGAGGCTGTGGAACAATAAAATGTGGCTGCAAGGTTTTTCTTTTCATATATAGAAAAGGCTAGTTGCTCCAATATGTGGCAAATGTAATAAAAAAGGATTTGATACTTTTTTTTTTTTCTTTTTACAGACACATGAGTTTTTTTGCATCCAAAGCAAGCCCCACCTCAGTGATCCTGGACCTTTGGGAGGCGCAGCATTTCCACAGCGGCAACATCAACCAGCTGGCCACTGTCATGGCCGATATTGGCAAACAGGAAGCCATGATATTCCTAGTCTCAGATGGAGAGTGCTAACCCAAAAACAGTTGGAACTATTGTTTAAATGGGGAAATGTTCAAGTCAAAAATAAGTGTGTAATGCCCAAATGTTTTCTCTTTTGAAGAGAGTCAATGCTTTTGTAGGGATTCCCTGCCATAACAGAACAAGCATTTTAAAATAACCAAATGGTCAAGTCTGTTGTGTGAAAACTGTATTCATAAAACCAGTTCAGTAACAAAAATATTTCCATCCTCAAAATGCCATTCAAACATCCTGAGAAGCCTTCTGAAGAGTAGAGTAACTTGCCTTTAAAAATGCTATATCGAGCAATATGCAAAATCATATATTTTCTATGGCCAATACAATACTGCAAATTAAATGATATTAAGAAGGGGTGAGACGATCAGGTTTTAGATGATTTATGCAACTGGCAGTTTATCCTGAATCACTGTTTTTACAGAGGTCATCAGGGTCTGTGAACTACTCACCAACACGGCTTTAGTCCAGGCCGCAGCTCTCATGCATTTGTAGAAGGTGCTGGTCTCTGCTTGTAGTGCATCTGTTTTTGAATGTCCAATGACTATTGCTACAGTAACATTGTGGCATCATCTTATATGTTTAGTGTTGCTGCTCTAATAGGAGTAGTGTATTTTGTATTCAACATACAAATTGTATTAATTATTAAATTAAATTTAACATTGATGACAAAATATTTCCAAAACATTTCCAAATTATGTTAAGACAATTATAGAATTGCTTCTCTTGTAGAATCCCATTACTTATGTGGTCATAATGTTATGGTTCATTGCTCTGTAAATGGACAATAAATTTAGTCAAAAACACATCACAATGTTGTTGGAGCAGAACATATACTCTACCTTCCACAAATAATAAAGCACTTGCCTCCACTCAAGTGCCAACAATTTCCTTCAAATGAATTGAGATGAGATGATTTGGTTTGAAGCCTAAAGCCATGTTGGGGGGTTGGGGAGGGGCACAGCGTTCGATTTGTGGTAAAAGCTTATTTCCACATCAGAGAAAATGCCTATCTCTCAAGAAAATTCAAGTGTCTCATTCATAACGTCACGCCGGTGCTCACAAAGATGCTTTGAAAGTCCTTTTCAAGAAGTTAATTTAGAAAAGGAAAAGCGAAATAATCCCAAATTCTCAGTCACCACTGCTACCATACATGTCTAATGTTCAAGGTTTTCTGTCAGAACATTTGTCTGCTCGCTTGTCCAGTGACTCCTTTGAGAAGGTCTGAGCAATCCTAAACTAGCCATAGCTCTTTGTCTGTCTCAGGGTTGCATGTGAAGTGTCTGTTCAGTAGAAAGAGCCTTCAGTGAAGTCCCAGCTTTAGTTCACCTCCATCAGAAGCACCACGAAGATTGTCTGATATCGGGAATGTACAAGTGTCATGTCATAGGAGAAAATCTTACACAGTTTCCTTTAAGTTGCTTTTTTATGCAATCTCACTCGTTTTTTATAATGATTTAAACTACCTTGAGCATTTTATTAATGTTAATGTGGAGATGCCATTAAAATGAAGGCGTCCACTTTCCTAATGATGCCCTGTTTCCATAAAGTGCTGTTATTGCCCAAACTAAAACTTTCCATGAAAATGAAATGTCACATTTAAAATGTAAATACTTTTTATATAGCAGCCATGTGCTGTCACTTTGCATACTGTATATCAGCAAATTGGTAACCAAAGTCCACCACATCCTCCCTTTTACATTCACATGTCACAGTAAAGAGTCAATAGCTGTTCATTTCTGTGTCAAAACACCATTTGTGTGCAGGAATCTGTTTATTTTATGACTTTGTAAAGAAATGTATATTATATTTTAATATGAAGCCAAAAAAAGACACTTAAGTGGTGCAGCATTTGTCAAGTCAAATTGTGACGTGTTTGCCTATATCCTGTTCTTTGGCGATCCAGCGGTGAAGACTTTCTGCAGTGTTAAGGATTTAGAGACTGTTTTACAAGTTTCTACACATTTCATTGCATCCTTACTCTGTATATGTCTGATTATTTGTATAACTGTTAGCATCTACAAATGAACCCAATGCTTCATGAGTCACTGCTAGGGATGTGTGAGCTAAAGGACAGAGCTGGATGCTGACAGCAGCGACGCAGCGAGTCTGCAGCCATGGCAGATGTACAGTCAGACTGTGTGTTCTCACCCCTGTCATTGTCTTGGATGTGTTGTCTAAGCACATTTAAGTAATGTAATTCACCAGCGCAGGATGTTCAGCCTCTGCTCACGTCTCACATGCTCTGCTCAGACTGCTGATCAAACCTGGGCAGGAACACGTCACTTCGCTTTTGTTTAAGGGGTCGTCATCTCACTCCAGTGTGGGGGAATAATCCATCTCACTCTATTGTCTGCTCTGTGTCATTAATATTCAGTGTCTATGATGTGTGTTTGAGGGAGTTTGGGTTTGTGCCAAGCTCTGGTCACTGACTAAACTAAACTTTTCTAGTTTTGAAGTCAAATCAGTATCTTCTGTACCTGTGGATGTTTCTCTTTTGTTCCAGGATTCATGTTTCTTGCCTTTCTGCAAGTCAAAAATGCTGTATTTATTACATGCCACAGCGCTTATGCAATTGTATAATCCTTTTCTGTTTTTTATTTGTTTTTTAACCTTTTGTGTTTCTTATTGTTGATGTAAATTGTTGTCAGAACCTTTTGTGGCAATGGAAAACTTCTGCTAAAGGAGATTTTCTGTACCTTTTGGACAATGATATGGATTTGTGGGTAGAATTTTGAAAATTCGTTTCTAAGTGCTTTCAAGTATTTACTTGGCCTTATGTATATATCTATCTATGACATTTCAGAAAGGTATGTATAGTAATTCAACCTGAAATCGGTGTAAATAAATTATATATTGTTACATTATGGACTGGACTGACACTTTATTATTGGAAAAATGTTGGTATACTAAAACATGAACATATGAATCTACTTTTTTTTCTTAGGGAGATGGAGGAAATATTTGGTAAAAATAATTATCTGTTATGCAAGAAACTGAAAACTCATTCATTGCATTTTCACTGCAAATATTCAAATTCTACAACAATACAATATGTTTTAAGTTACTTTCACAATGTGGTTACCATGTCATTTCATATTAAATAATACTCCAAGCCAAATGTTAAAATAGCAATACCAAATTTTATTTTAAAGCAGCTATAAAAAAAAATCTTAGAAACATTCTGAAGCATATAAATACAAATCTATATCATAAACAAGGTAACAATGAAGGAATGCATTTGTTTTAGTCTCTAGTTCGCAATTCAAGGCTTCAACCATCTTTCCTTAAGGCACTGTAACATTTAAAAAGCCAATAATGGCCCATTTTGCTGTCACCAGTGTGTCTATTAAAAACAGATCAATTTTGAATAATTCACAGACACTGGATAATTGATCATTAACTTTGCCATGTGGTGAAAAGAGAGGCAGTTCGTGACAGGGCAGAGAGGTCCATTGCAGACGAGGTAGGAGACCCCTTTCTGCCTGGCTGGACCCCTATTACATTAATAGGCAGTGGGTGAGGACTCTGAAAGGGGCACACTACTTCCTTGCACTTAGCGAGGGGCGAATGGTACATCATTAGAGCAGCAAGTGACATTATTACAGGCTCAATGGCTTCACCAGTTCGCTTCGTCTGACTGAAGAGACAGTATCTTGCAAGGATCAGATCACAGAAGGCAGATGACCAAAGTCTGTTCTAACTGTAATGTCCTTTACAAAGTCTGATCGAAAAGCATCTTAAAATGTCAACAAGTAGTGTACAGTAAAGCTGCTATACTGTGGTGGATTTGCAAATGAACATAGGTGCTGTCAGTGAAGATAAGCTGTGAAGTTTTACATATGCCAATCAGCCATAATGTTATGACCACCCACTTCATGTAACCCTGTCATCTCCGTGGTGATGATGTTTTTTTTCTTGAATATTTCACAAAGTCGCATATAACACTGGAATATGTTTACTTGCTTATTTGACTTGAGGACCAAATGCACAGTATATCCACCACACAACCATGTTTTTCACTGAATGTGCCAGTGGTCATAATGTTGGGGCTGATTGGTTTATGTGAGCACTATAAGATGCATTTGAGTGAAGTAGGAGAGTGGAAGGTGCTGCAGACGGAGGTCTCACACAGGAGCAAAAGCATGGCCTTTGCACAGCGGCTTATCCTTCTTTGAGTAGAACGTCTTCCCCTCCAGGTTGATTTGGCAGAGCTTTGGAGATGAAAGGAGGCAGATGGAGAGAGTGAATGATGAGGAAATGGGCTAAGAGCTCCTAACAGACCATTACACTGCCACTATGAATGTGCCCCTCTTAGCCACTCAGACCTATAATATTTACCCGTATGCTTTTGCCTTAGAAAATCATACAAAACATATCAACAGGCTAAAGGTGAGAGCAAGATGGAGCTATTGAGGAGGGTAAAAGGGAGGCCCCCACAAAGAGACATATCAATCAAAATGACTTACTGCACACACAAAGCAGGTATCGTGCCAGCTGTAGCCCAAGGCCTCCAGAAAACGGTCTCCTGCATCAATCTTAAAGTCACAGCCATGGCATTTGGTGCCAAACATCTTCTCATAGTCTGAAAGAAAGATGAAGACAAATGAGACGCGAGGCTTTGAACTAAACATAAAACACTATTATAATAAGGTCAAAGTTCTATCCAACTCTACTATTACATTTAAAGTCTGACAGACAGCTCTGGACATCAACTTGTTTGGACGTACATACATATGGTAAAATTTGAAAAATACATATATAGTTCATCTAATAAGTTTTTGAATTGCACAAACACATTTTTGTTAGGGTTGTAGACCTCTAGTCAATTAATCAGTTGATGCTGTCTTACTCGAAGTTTTTACTGATTGACTAATTAGTTGATTGGATTTTTAAGGATTTATACAGACCGCAGCTGAAAGAGGAAAGCATGGAGTGAGTTAGCTGAAGATTTTGGAATGATTGGACAGTTTAATTTGCGTTTTTATTTTTTACTGTTTACAGGTACTTCTCTGTATAGTTGTTTTTTGTGTGTGATCCTTATAGTTTTGTTAAATTTCTTCAAAGCTGTATCCTACGCCTTTTGTCATGGTGTTAAATTTTAATATTGGCCCAGCTTATCAGTGGCACTGACAGCAGCCCATACTGTACATAATAATTAATTATCATATGACACAAATGTGGTCTTCTTGGCGTTGATTGATGAATAGATTCAGATAAACGGTTGGTGGTTGTACTTCTCCATTTGTTAGCTAATGAATCTCTGTTAGAATCATTAAACCAACTATGGCAAAATGTGGACAAACCACACTAACAAATATGTTCCTTCTTACATTAATATTGTCAATTATTAATCCATCCATTTTCTTCTCATTTATCCGGGTCTGGGTTGAGGCGCTAGCAGTTTAAGCAGGAACTCCCAGGCTTCCCACACCCCAAACACTTCCTCCAGCTCCTCCGGTGGGACCCCAAGGTGTTCTGAGGCCAGCTGAGAGACATTTATGTACAATTTATTTTGTCTTGCGCATTTTTACAGCTCCAAGCATTTCCGGGACCCAGGTTGGCCCTTGTGCTTAAAGCACACTTGATGTTTCGGCGTTCCTCGTGTAAACCAGTGCACTACACATCCCTGGCTCTCCTTCTCAGCGGCTGCAGCACCAGGGGATTAGAATGAGGGGAAATTGCTCCAGATACTTAACTGGATTTGCTGCTCTCTTTCATCGCAGCGACTCGGGGTAAAGTGTCACGTCCTAATACGGGCGCTCCTCCAGAGTACGAGTGCGAACCACCGCCACAATCCCCCCAAAGATGCTGAGGCGGCAGAATGTTTATCAGCTATAACGGCATTATTCAAAAGAGAGTGCTCAGGTTGTGGTTGGGGCCCGTGATAAAGCTGCGGAGTGAGGGAGAAGCACTGAGCAACAGCTAAATCATTTACTGCATAATGCCATCCGCGCAACCCATTCATAAAAGCCAATAGAGGGTGTATGGGGTAAACCGCGGTTAAATAGATTACGGAGACGAGAACATGACACTTGGTGATTGACCGCGGCCCTCACAATGATGGTAACAAAAATAGGAAGAAATTGTACAATAGATGTTAAAACAGAACCTGATATTTAAAAAAAGATATAGTATTTAATTGAATGGTGTTTAGGATTTTTTTTTTTATGCTGATACTAATTTCTGATTTTTGTCTCTTCTGTGGCTGATTAATAATACTTACACAGTGACTGGAGCAGCTCAGAAAAAAATAAAAATATTATTATTATTATTCACTTCACATATTGGCTTGTTTGCACCAATACAGATTAATAATACATTTTATAACTAAATGGGGAAAAAGCTAACAAGATAAACAAGATAAGTGTGTTGTATGTTGCAATAATGATCACAGTGTAATTTTGGTACCCTCTTTTGGCGTCAATAAAATATTAGTGCTTGTTTCTCATTGTGAGTGGAAAAGTTCTTCTCCCTCCTCGCAGATTTGTGCTGTGTGCGGCTTATCAGTGAGTAAACTTAGCAGGAGGCTCCTCAGCGTGCAAATATTCTCAGCTGGAAATTACATTTATTCGGCTCACTGCAGATTTAGGTCATGCTTTTACTTTTTATTTATGCATTATATTATTTTGCTGAAGCGTTGGAATTTTGTTTGGAATAATACTAGTTGCTTTGTGACTAGAGGAGTAAAGAGTCCAAAGTTATGAAGTGTTATGAAATCTGCATCAGGCAAGATGTTTGGCCAAATGGATATATATATAACATGATAATATTAATCTCATAACATGAACATGGGCTGCAGTCAACTACAGACATACCTGGTGCATCAATTAACTAAAATAGGGCAGATTAAACTGTCCTGTCACTCCAGTTGACTTACCCCATGCCTTCTCTTAATAAAATAATTACTCAAATAATAATACATTTGTTTAAGAACCAATTGCTCAATTAATCATCAAAACAACTCAAGGACCCAATGAACATATATACATTGTAGAATTTCCTCACCTCTCTCGCAGTATGGCTCTCCCTCCTCCATGTAAAAGGCCTGATTTCTAATTGGATTCTTACAGGCTGCACAATTAAAACACTGGACATGGTAGGTCATTTTCAGAGCATGCATAATTTCCTAAAAACAGAGAAATTATTTAACATTTTGTACAGATACACCTTTATCCAGAGCCTGCTGAACTCCTACCCCTGTGATCTTCTTTTTGCACTTAGCACAGTTTGGAGCGTATCTGTTGTCATGGCATTTGGTGCAGTAAACAGCCCCTCGCTCTTCAAAGAAACCGCCTTCATCCAGCATGGCTTTACACTGTGAACAGGTGAACTCCTCAGGGTGCCACGAACGCCCCAGGGCAACCAGGTAACGACCCCTAAAAACAGATACACACACAGAAGCTCAAAACAAGAGACAGGTGTAGGGACATGTGCTACAGAGAGATACCACTTTATTTTGATGTGGCTAAATTTTAGTGTGTCTGCAAGGGAGGTTTACTGATAACAAATGGTATTTAAAGGCCAGCATATTGTCACTTTTAGAGGGACCAAAACAATGTCTCCAGAATTAACATTTTTATTAGTAGAGAGATTAAAATGTAGTGTCTAACTAGTTTCATTAATCTGTTCCTGTTCAGGGCTGATCACAATTAATCATCTGTACCTATTTAGCTTCGTTTTTTTTTAGATTGTATTAATGATCAATGTGGAAATACAAACAAAAATGTATAATGTAAAATAATTCAGTTTAGCAATCTCCAGCTTTGCTTACTACTTTATATTGTTTTTCTTGTCATATCACCCACCCTTAATCTAAAGTGAAACATTATTTCACCCATAGACTGAAAAAAAAGAAATGTATACGGTCTATGATTTCACCTGATGATTTTGTTACAGGCTCCGCACACTGGTGTCCTGCCACTGTTTTGGGGGGCTGGTTGAGCTGCCTGTACGATGGAGCTGCGACTCTCCATTGGTGTGGGCTGGACAGGCTGCTGGTGCTGTGTCACCACTGTACTGGTTTTGTCCGGGTGGAAGCGATCAGCAAATTTGGGATCAGTGACCCATGGTGGGCGACAGAACGGGACTGCGCTGCCCGCCGCTGCAGCTGCTGTCTTGGAACCTTAGATGAGGAAAACAAGTGTTACCTTGATAAACCTGGCTCAGACTTTGAATAATGCGACAGAAGAGACAGATTTTTATGTAATATTCACTCTCTCCAGATGTTTCTGTGACAGTGTTATGAGTCACATAGCTGCCTGAGAAGCCCATGTATTGACACTTAATCAGAATCTATTAGCACAACCTCTGCTGGTTCAGAGCTGGGTTCTGCTGGGGGACTTTTTTAATGCCACAGCAGGAGACAAACTCACCATCTGGTTTATTCGCTGCCTGGGCCTTGGCAGGTGAGGGAATTGGCTCGAGGCTGTGGGGAGAAAATGACTAATTAGAAAAGGTACACACGCAGAAAGCTCTCAGTAACCATGGCTACAACTCAGTCAATGTATGTCGCTCATATAATCACTTGTGACCAATTGGCACGGTGAAGTGCGCTGAATAAAGCCTGGTATAAAAAGCCCTGTAAGAGCATGTAATGAGAACAACAGGGGCTCTCACACACACTGATTTGATTGACATCGCTCAGGAACTTAAAGAATGGAAAACTTGTTGAAATGCTTTGCTGAGGCAGTCAGACATTTCCTTGAAAAGTGCAGTGATTGAAATAAAGAGTTCTTCTTCCACTTTTTGAGGTGTGTGATCTGCATAAAACATGACAATATTCAGAAAATCTTCAAACCATGAACAAGTGCTTTTAAATCCAGACAGCTGAGAAAAAGTCTTCAGAAAAATATACCATGCCTCCAGTCTGCAATGCATTGTATAATAGTTCTAACAGTTAATGTAAGAATATCAAATTCAAAATTTCAACAAATAAGGACTAAGTACTGTCCTCATACAGCCCTTTACTAGTGCTATGGTGCTTTATCTGGCAAGGCTAAACATGAATTGAGACATTTACACAAGTGTTTACAACTGGGACCTATTTAGGGCAAGACTACAGACTGCAGAGCCAAAATCCCATTGCAGAAACAAAGAGACTTTAGTGCTGGTGGCAAAGACAAGTGAAAAAAACAACTCAATTAAGGTCTAACTGTACGCCTTTAAAAGGAAGAAAAAAAAACCCAAAAAAACCCCCCCAAAAAAAAAAAAGAACAATACAGAATGCATAAAAGCAATTTAAGGTCACCGGGTTAGAGAAATAGTACAATAAAATTGACTTGTAAATGTTGACCTTTTGACTTTTCACTCAATGGCTTTAGGGAGCTCACCTAACAACCTGCACAGTAACAAGGTGGTGAACTGTGCACCTCAGTGCACCCTCACAGCAGCACACAGGAATCAGCCTTGCTTTTGTCAGGTTCAAAATGATACATACACATTCCTGAGCACCTTATTCACACCTTTTGATAAGATCCTGTTACATAGCGGCAGCCTTGGGTAATACATAATCTGCCCTACTTCAAATATGATTTTATGGAGATTTTTTGTTTTAACTGTCAATGTCATTTTAATGTCATCAGATACTAAGTATGCATTTACAATTTATAACCTTAGACAGCATAGCATCTTTAAGATTATCCAAATAATATTTATTCAGATTTTGCAACACTGAAATTCACAACAAAACAACTCACCAATTACTCTACTCTATTTGTCATTTTTCAAGAATTCTATTCTATTCTATTATCTTTTTTTTTTTTTACTAATTTACTGTCCTTTTTTATTCCTCAATGTGCTTAAACAGGCCTGTTTACCCACACACTTGCATGCATTACAAACCACATTTTCTGGCTGTGCTGAAGACCATTCCCCAAATCCCCACACGCTTCCATTGTCTGGTTCTTGGACACGCTGTGCCTCATGGAACATTAGCTTGACATTTCCCGTTCAGTCTTTACACCTGTGATTGTATCCTTTTTTGGCTCTTCCTCTCCTGTGGGACGCCTGGAACAGAGCAGCACGGAGGCGCGGAGGCAGAGGAGGGGAAGCGCCTTTTGATTTGAGCTGGAGCAAGAAGCCGCTGACATGTGTCACCTTCAACCGCGCACGGGTAAAACTGATGCAGTTCTGCAAATATGTGACTGTGGCACCTGACAAAGTGTCAGAGGATCTGGGCTACTTTTGGAAAATACCTTGCTGTTATTGTTATCTGCTCTACTTTGTTAATAAGGTAGAAAGAGCTGCTACTTGTCCTTGAAACTTTTAATTATCAAAACAGGTTTCATATTGATTTAATATTGATAAATCATAAAAATAATTGAAAAGCAGCATCCAGTAAATTATATTGTATACCTAAGCTACCCTAAGAAGAATCTGTGACTAACCTCTGTACACATTGCTATTTACGTTATAAATCTAATTTTGAAAAAAGAAGCTGAAAAACAACACAAACTTTGTTTCTTTAGATCATAACCATACGAAAGTAACTAAAATCTTCAAACAAAATACAAGATAAATGGAGGTTACAAGTGAATATGCAGCACCAATTGCATAAATAAAATTATTACAATAAGGGTTGCTTGTGATAAAAGTCAAGTAAACAAAATTATAACAGGATCAAGGAGAAACGCTGGTACAAACAAATACAGTAAGTCAGAAACAGGAGAAATATAGAAGAGAATAGTTTGAGCTAAAGCAAAACACTTCATATAGAGGAGAAAAAAGACCAGAAGAACAGAAAATCTTTTTTTTAGATGTTTATATATATTTTTGATGACAGCAGAAAAACACAAGTACAGGTTTGTCTTCCTTGTCTTTGGTAATGATTTGGAGAGGCCTATGAGATGAGAGGATCACAAATGAAATGTCTAGAGGATGAAGGACTTGGTGAATGGAAACGGTGGACACAGAGTGAGAGACAGAGATCAAAGGAGAGAGAAAACTTTAGAGGAATAACAAACACAGACCCCCCTCCCACCTGCCCACTCATTAACTCCAAGATGGAACACAAGGCCAAGCAGCTGCCCACAGCGTCGGCCAACATCAGGGAGATCTTACATTTTAGGCTCAGTATGCAAGGGTCCACTCTGGGCGTATCTAGGCTGTCTACTTTTCTTATTTTTTCACCTGAATCTGAAAAGGTGAATGCTTTAACTGCCATTTGACGCTCATCTAGTATCTTAGTCGTCTTAAGTCACATGGAGGTTTATGGTGTCGCTGTTGGTAGCGGTTTCAAGACTGGGGTTGGCATTCTAGGACGTCCAGTCTGTGGTCACTCAGGATTTAATATTGAGGGCACGGGCAGACCTGTCATGGTGCCAATCCCTCAAACGGGCATAGCGAGGACTCTGGATCTCAGAGAGGAACTTTTCCCTGATGACGAGGCAGATTTGAAGAAAAAACAAGGTAAAGAGAGAGTAGAATGAAAATGTATATAGAATATAGGCAGTGACATGCACAGCAAGGTTAGAACCTTAAGTTAAGCAATTTTGTAACTGTAATTCACAACAAGGACTTGGCTCTTAACACCGTCAACAACACTATTTGATAACTGTTATGCTGTAACTGCTATGAATATAAATAACAGTACCAAAAAGAGTGCTTCACTCTCACATGATATAAAGCTATGACGTGCAATAGTGTCAAATCTGTTAGGTGCACAATTTACTATAGTGTAAGTAACACATAAAGCATTAAGGCTGGGCAATGAATTGAATTTTAATCAAGATCAAGAGTCTTGTCTAATTGTCAATTATAGGCTTGTTTTTGTTTAGTTTTTTTTTTAGTTTTTTTATCAAGAGGTCTACACTCAATCCTCTGTTAATAAAAGTGTCTGGTTTGGAGTTCAAACTTTGCAGGAAGAAATGTGGCTATACTAAATACTTAATGGCACTGAATCAATGTCTGTCTTGTTTATGTTCATGAAATTAACACTGATCACCCAGCCCTATAAGTATCATTAAGAATGAATTCTGTTTGCAATTAAATATATTGATACTTCAAAATGTCAGGGTCAATTAATTTTCTACTTCACAGCCATGCAATGAAACTAATTTACTGATTCAATGAGGGATTAACCACAGACTATATAAGTAAATGGCATTAGCACAACAATATTCCAACATGCACATCTCAGCTGACAATGTTTACCTGGACCTCTTCATGGTCTCATCATCGGGGTCCTGCACTGAGAGCACCAGAAAATAGAAAACATGAGGGAGCTCCACTTTTAAAGACAGCTCATTCAAATGTGCCACTACGGTCAATTTGTCAGGCCCACTCTGTCACAGAAGATGGAAGCCCACTGATATCTGAGTCCATCTCTGCTATGACATGCCTGTTATCTGTCTTAGCTGCGTCAGTCAGTCTGCTGTCACTCTAGCGCTGCTATGATCACATCAAATCAACTGACAGACCGCCATCTCGCACCCTCCTCTCCCCTCTAGCACTCTACTCCTCCTCTTCTCTACCGCTCTGCCTCCTCTGCTCTCACTGACTTACTGTAATCGGTGCCTGTTAGCTGGGCCAGGATTCGGAAGGAGCGGGACTGGGTGGTACCGGTGCGCGGCTGCCAGTCCTCAGTGTCCTCGATGAGCCTCTTCTTGCTGCGGTCATTTGGGATGAAACAAGGCACGTTCTCCGCTCTGAGCCCGTGCCTGCACACCACACGGCGGGCTTGGGTTAACGCACAAGTCTCCCCCCATGCTGGGACTATCCACTCACAACAACCAGAATAGGCCAAAGCTACACAGACGACCTTGAAGACAGAGGACAACCCTGAGATATCATGCTGCAAAGCGCTTAGTAACACGGTCACGCATAGAGCCAGGTAATGGATAGCCATTAGGGGGATTTCTCATGGGCGCACTATAGACTGTAAATGGACAATAGCTCATTAAAGATCATATATTTGGCAGGCATTAGTATTGACAGGATACAGTCTGTCTCAAGGATTTGCTTGAAACACTGACTTAACAGGCAGAATGTGTAAAACGCTTCAACACATATGGGCATAATTTATTGCAAGCACTATTGATCCAAAGTACAAGATGTAATTTGAACAAGCAACACAAACTAACTTAAAACACACGTAACCAAACCCAATGAACAAGTACAATCCAATGCAACCACAAATCAACACAGTATCTTACTTGGATACTTGGTAAATATCATCATAATAAGCTGGTTCAACTCTGAGGAAGAAAAAATACTTAATGATTAACTAGCAGTAATATTAGTGCATAAGACAAAAACATAATTGAAACTGGAACGAAGGGACTGTAAAACATTGTCCCATTTTATAGGAAATCATATATTATTTATGAACACCAGATGGCAGTGTTTTGTGAAAATGTATATCCCCAAAGAGTCATATCAAATACTGTATAACCCACTGTTTTTAGAGCAGGAATGCATGTGAGCCATGTGATCCAAAGACAACAAATTCAATAAAAATACATATGTGGTGTTTTGTTTATAAAGGCGTAATACTAACTTGTCAAGAGCTTCCATCTGTGAAAGTAAAAAGACAGGGGAGATGAGAGAGATAGGACACCAAGAACAAGCTTAAACATGTTAAATACTGCACACAGGAGCAGACGGAAAAACTGCAAAACCCATGCATCAATGTGCAAACAAACATGCTTTTCACTGCAGACACAAAGAGAGAAAGCCTCCATTGTTCTCTCAGTTCAAATTATTACCACAGTGATCCAGCAGCAGAATGACTCTTTATATAAAGGCCCAAACTATTTATCTTCTCATATCCTCTTATCATTTCAGAATTCTAGCATACTTCACATAAATGAAACATACCTTTTAATTAAATTGTTTATGGCAAGGACACAGAACAATGACAAAATGAAGCTGGCAGTTGTAATTACAGGCTTTTTCACAAAAGTGGTGGAAATTGCTTGGCCTCAGGCATCTGCTGAAGATATTCTAGAGTGAGACCTCCGTAAAGACAAGGCCCCTAAATAATCCAGCGCTAGGCCAGTAAAAGCTGTGTGGGAACTCGGCAGAATTTATGAGCGGGGCTAAATACAGAAACATTACCAGTGGCTGCTCACCCCTCCACCATGACCCAAATTATAAAGCAGACCAGACGAACCTCAGAGAATAGACCATTTACACAAAGCACTTCAATCAAGTGATGTGCTGTTTTGTCCTCTTGCTGAATACGGGTTGTAAACTGTTTTATTTTGCACTAAGGGAACATAATTTTCATCCATAACAATCTGTTTATGTAGCAAACAGAACAGAAAACAACAATTAGAAAAAAGACCGATCATCAGTGGTGTTCTTTCTGTTATAGGAATTAATTAAATGAAAATAACTGAAAAATATCAGGAAGGCTCAAAATTAGTTAAATGATCTGTTTCGTGTGGAGTATGTAGTGACAGTGCCATTCAAATGCAGACAAAACACTGCATATGCCAAATTTTAGTGCAGTTTCAAGTTCTATAATGTCAATTTCTAATACAGTGGGCACCTAAACTGGATTATAAATCATTGTACATCAGATCTCCAAAAAACATAACAAAAGTAAAAAAAAAAAAAAAAAGAAGAAATCCATCACTAATGCAGAAAAAGAGAAAAATTATTTAGTGACCAAGGACTGGTTGTGCCTCGAACATATTCAATTAAATTATGTTTTTTCAGTATACAAAACAAAATGTTAAACCAAGAGCACTATGTTGTCGGCTAACTTGCCCTTGCAGATAGAGGATGTATGTTTTGGACCTACCCATTCAGTGACTCCTGTACTCCACCAGAGCCTTGTGAACGTGGGGTGTTTAGTTTGGGGGAGTATGCCACAGGCTTAATAACAGGTCCTGAGTTGGCACTAGCACCACCTGCTGTAAACGGCCGTGCCATCTTGTTAATGGTGGTGCTGGGGGCGAACGAGTACTTTGGCTGAGCAGAGGCTGGAGTGAGCGAGTCCTATGGGGGAGTGAGAGAGAGGGACAATGCAGCACACAACACACAACATGCACTTAGGATTCACACATTGTAAACTTTGCATATGCTGTTGCACAATCCTTCTTATTTTTAGAGCAAAGACCTGTGTGTGTGTAGGTTTGCAATGACTGGCTATTAGGTATGTCTGCTTATACTTCTAAATGTAAATAAAAACTTATCAAAACAAACACAGTTATAGTGTAACATTATACATTTTTAGTTAGACCGTCCACTACTTGCTGTTGTCTGAGTAGAAGTTATTGCTTTGCCTGGAATGTTCCTTAACTTAGACTTAAACTTACATTTCTACAAGGTGATAATTATAGGTCACATCTGTGGAGAGGCAACCCCTCGCACAGTAAGAATGCATGTTTTACAAAGTGTTTTTGAACAATTAAAAAAATTCAAATAGATTAGTTTAATGCCAAACTGCAAAGCATTCCAGGCAATCCAATAACATCTCTATGGTGGAGTCACTATAATAAAGAATCGCATTGAAAATAAAAGGTCCCTCAATTAATAACATGATACAACTAAATTTAATAATTTTTTTTCATATCTTAAAACCATAAAAAAGGCATACCTAATAATATGGCCAGTTAGTTTACACATAGTTATTTCTGTGTGCCAGGACTGAGTCCTACGCACAGGGAAAGTGCTTAAGAAGTTGGAGCACAGCCGTTTTATTTACTTTGGTAGCTGTCCAAAGACTGAAGTCTAAAGTTATCTGCTACTGGCACTAAGAGAAAATACTCAAACTGAAAAATTGCTTATTTGACTGGCAAGCTTTGGATGACAAATTTACTGTCCTATATAAAATATTATCACAGAAAAGTCAATGTTCCAAAATGCTTTTTTTTTTTTTTTTTATTCTAACTATGATGAGTTAAAGTACTTTTCCAGTGGGGGGGTTGCACCTGATTATTTCCATGAATATTTTTATTACTACTTTGACTGGAATGTTCCACAGTATGGCATTAAACTAATCTACACAAAACTCTAAACTCTAAAATAAACATTTATTCAGTTACAGGTGTTTATTGATCTCGAAAAACATGCACTCTTACTGTGAGCAAGGATGCCACTCCAAAATCTAATGTGTAGACTCTTGGAATAACCAAGCGCATATTTGTGTTTAGGCAAACCAGTAACATCTCCATGGAGACAATCAGGTGGCAGCTTCTCAACCAGAAGAGTTATATATACTAGAACTAGCATGTCTTTTGTTCATTTCAAGATGTGATTCTACAACTGTAAGTGCTAGTTTATGCATGTTTCTTCTCTTTTCTATGCTGTGTTCACATCTAACTCAAATCAATTGTGTCTGTTGTTTTACCACTTATATACTATCAAGGCAGCAATAGAGGATTGTGCAAGGCATAACAAAGTCAGCTACAGTGAATTCCAACACATTTTTGCCAATCCATCTGGCAAACAACTAATTTAGTGAGTCAGTGGCGCTTTACTAATTCACAGTGCAGGGACACAGCGTGATAGCATGACGGTTAGCTGAGGTGGTTCTTACTACAAAGTGACATGAAACACTGGTGAGGCCAATTACGAGTAAAAAGTGTCTCCCAGTTGATTCTGTGTCACTGTGCAGTCCAGCAGCGATCCATGCCAGGAATTCAAACTGATTTTAGATCAATGCTTTAAACAACAAAGGCCTTACCTTGTGGTCTCCAGCAGCTTTGAACGCTCTGTGAAAAAAGGCATACAAAAAGAGTGTTATAAGAAATTCTGCTTTAACACTGGGCATTACACATTGTTGCAAGTGTACAGGAGTCTTTTCATTTATTTTGTGTTCATGTCAGTGTTTCAGCAGTGTCATAAAGATCTCCATTTAAGTATAATATACAAACTTACAATAATAAAATAACTAAAGTATTTTCTTATGCTTCATTACCATAAATTAGAGATGGGTAATGTTGAAAAAAAATAAAATAAATATATATATATATATATATATATATATATTTCAAAGGAACATCAAAATTATCATATTCTGACAATATTATGGCACTGTGTAAAACCATGTCAGTAAATGCCTTGATTTAGTTTGAAAGATCACCTCAAAAGTGCAGAAATATCACAAGATTACGCCTCAAGTTTGTTTAATTTTTATTTTTAATCAGCTCTCTTTGCGGCTCTAATTATAGACTGTGGCTTTAATTATAGACTACATACTTCCTGTTCCAATTTTAGATGTCTCCAAACAACTATTGTGTCATTATACATTTTTCAATAATTTAACTCCCCAGGACAACGCTTTAGGATTTTAGTTTATGTATACAGCTATATGATCTCACAAATGAAAATGTCCACACACTATATTTGCTTGTCAAATGTGTCAACCTAAAAGACAGAGGACCTGTTTTTAAACGCTGCCCCAATGTAATGAAACCTAATAGGCCAGGTGCAGAAGAATAGTGAAGCAAATAGAAAATGGCTTCTATTAAAAATGATTGACCGCTAATGGCTGTTATTATTATTGAACCACTATGACTATCACTTTTGACATTGTTTTCACTGGTCTACAGACACGTTTTTTGACAGTGAGAAATGGGTAGGCGGGCGTCGTATGCTTGGATACTGATAGAGCCCTGATATAGATGAGATGACAACTCTGACGGGCCAATGCATTTCCCACCTCTGTCACAGCCAATCACAATGACACTGTATGCTGTCTTACTGTTAACCTACAGTTTAATGAGCCTCACTTAATCAAGGAACAGAGAGGAACAGGTTTGACAGCTGTTCCTGAGCTCGTTTTTGTTGGATGGGATAAAAAAATTCTGACATGATTAAGTCACTGTCACGGGAAAGGATTTTTGGTTTGCGCTGAAACCGAATATGCTCACAATGAGATCATTTCCTGGCTCATTTCAAGGGTCACTTACTTTAGCTGATGCATGTTTGGCTTACATGCTGATGTTTGATAAAATCAGGACTTTCTCTACAAAAACTCCCTTGATACTCCAAACACAATCTCCACAAGCCTCAAGGCTCTTCCTGAAACACTATTGTTACTGTGCTTGTTACATGATCGCCTGTCGAACAACTTTCCCTCAAGCTAACAATCTATTGGTTATGTCTCTTCTCTGCTTTGGATAAAGTTCTACACAAATAAGTCAGACGATGATGATTGGTAATGAAAGACGCACTCCAGTGTCTTTAAGTAGGAGCAGCTTTCCTTCATTGTTGACATAAAACAAATGGTGGACGAGGCCACGAACACAATGGAGAAACCTGACAATCACTGCTCTTTCAAAAAGTGTTATTATCTCGCCTATGAAAAGAATAAAATGAGAAACTGTAGAAACGTCAGCGGAGGGTTAGAGACAAGGTCAAAGTAAAAAAAAGGAAGAAAGTGAGATATTTACAATACTAGAACTCAAACAAGAAATACAAAGAAAAGTACAGTGAACATCTAATTAATGATACATAAACATTAAGGTTCATTACAACTTTTAAAACACTTTCTACAGCTTTTTAAGTTCTTATAAAAACAGAAGAAAGCTCTGGCATACCTGACCAGTAGTTTGACGACACGCAAAGTAACCTTGTGACTCAGCACTTGTCTTGGAGCTACACCTGAGACAGGTGTCTGTCAACAGTTTAAAGAGACATCAGCACATTAGTCAGGCTGTGTGACTAAACTATTAGACTCCTGGCCTCAACAGAAAGAAAATCTCACAAGATTTAATTATTACATCTCTCAAGGGTGTGTGTTTTTCGTCTAACACTGTGCTAAGTGCTTTTTCACTATGAAGGAAGTGAGGCTATGAATTACACGGAAGAATGAAGGGATTTTGTCACCACAACATGAGAATAATATTATTATATTGAATACATTTATAATAACTTAAACACATGTAAACATAATAGACAAAATAGTTATTCCTTGGAAATATTACTTGTATGTATCATTAAATACTTACAAAGCAGGTGCTCCTCAAAGATGTGCAACTAGGCAATTAAAAAGATAAAAATAACCCTTCAATAACGATGTGGGTGAGGGCAGAGCATCTGAGACACTCTGAGAGGTTAAAAGTCTTTTAACAACATCAGAGTGCCTTGGATCCTCTGGCCCACCCACATCATTATTGAAGGGTAATTTTCTGTCTTGTTGAGTAAATATTTTGAGAATAACATTTTGACTCATAGTAATTTTGAATAAGACATTGCGTACCGTCCTCAGCCTCTTTATAGGAAACACATGCCACATCAGCAGAGTTTGTAGCCTTATGCTTTCTGCTGCACTGTGCTGCTTGTCACCCAAGGCACTACATGATGTATGCAGAACACAGCAAAAGCAACATATATGATCTGAGCAGGCCCACTTTGTTATTTTACCCTGCACCATAAAATCACCTTTCAACATCTTCATCTTGTCAAATGTGACACCATTACTTGCATGTTTTGTGTCTCTGAGCACTCTTTATTTTAACATTGATGAGAGCCCATGGGCAGCTCAGTAAAGTGCTTTACAGAGGTTTCAAGGCCATGCAAATGTGAAAGAAGCCAAGCAAATTTTCAACATTCAGACTCCACAAGGATGTTTTAATGTGTGTCTACTAGTTTAATTTATGCTTTAATCTGTTAGGTTATATGAGAGGCCGTGCTGACATGAGACAAATTAAGCAAGCAGACCACATTTGTAGGGAGTCAACAGAGGAATCTCCTGGCAAATGACAACAAAGTGAACTGGATGTGAGAAGTAGCTCGGGTGCTGCTGTGATCACGAGCCGAGCTCTTTAAAGCAAAGAAAACATCAAAATGAGTCCCACGGCAGCAACAAGCCTTATCCTCCTAACAAGTTGACCCCGGTTTATGTTTGATGCTATTAGCTTTGAACAGGCACATCCTGACTTTGCTATAAAGAGATGGCCATTTTAATCACATCACTTAATCAGGGCTGCATTATCAGTAAGTGAATTCTTAGACAGATTATCAAACTAGGTATGAGGGTGACTGCTGCTGCTACTGCTGGGAAGGTTATCTATTAAACAAAAAGTGCTTTACTCTAGTTTGATACGGAGGTGTATTACCAGAAAGCTGAAAACCCATCAGATAAAAAAAAAATAGTATTAATATAATCTTATTTAGATATTATTATAATTGAACCATATTTTTTTGCACTCATTATTGTGTATGTGTATCCACCTTACTTAGAGATAGATACTTTTCTCCACAGTCATCCTTATAAATTATCTGTCCAGATATTAGACCGGTGTAGTGACTCAACCTTTTAAACATATTTTTCAAAACCAAAGAATTTATAGCAAAGAGATAAAGATTTTAATCATATCCGAACATCCTGGACCCATAGTACCTGTCACATTGGGAATATTTCAAGGGCATTTGTTTATCTTGCGTCGCAGCGGGTAAGAAACAGTGCTGCATGTGTGATTTATGCAGGGTGTGTTGGAGATAAGGCCTGACTGATCATGGGGCTGTGATGGACTCACTTGCTGAGGGTGAGGGTGAGGGAGTCTGACGCTGCTCTGATCTGGTTCTGTGCCTCCACGTGGGTCATGTCCTCTGCGTTGGTCTCGCCAATAGACACCACCCAGTCCCCCACACCCACACCCGCCTGGGCTGCCTTTCCTCCTGGGGTCAGCTAGAGGAGAAAAAATAAGGACAGCAGTTTAAATAAATGGATAAAGTTCAACAAAGAAGTATAAACTTAAAACTGGTGTTCAGCATTTGGGCAATAAAAATATGACATGCCTTCATCAGTATCATAAGATACAAATTAAGTAAGATTGTGTGTGTACTTATTTAATAGGGTAATAATAGGGTAGCATAACGTTAAGTTCTGAATCTGGAAAAATATATTTCCCTTCTTTTTTCATATTGTCAAAGCAAATAGTTACTAAGGAGTATAAATAGATTTTTTTCTGATGATCTGATTCGCTGTCTTTTTGTTATTGTCATTTTACACTATTCATTGCCTGACCACCTGTAGGTGAATGGGAATAAAGATATGCATTTCACAGATGGAATAAGGTGAAGCAATGATTGTATTTTTAAGTCAAATAACAACATATTAACATAATGTATGCTGTGACAATTTATCAAGAAAAAAAAGTCAAAGCATGTCTAAAACACACAGGTTGACTTTGCTCTGCTGTCTTTTAGCTGCACTTAATAATCAACTCTGGGAGTCTGTGTGTCTGGGTCAGAGAGGCCAGTGGAGATTTTTCACTCAGCGCTGTCGGGAACAGGCATTATCGGTCATTGATGCTAAGAATGATGATGTCATCAGTCATCGCCACATGATTTATTACAGATGTGACTCAGGCCCCGCGGAAGATGTAAATGAAACCATATGTTACCTACAGTCATAGTGAAAGGCCAAATCCAGACAGGTAAGTCATTTAGTCACAAACAGATGACATCACATACACAGCAGACACAGATGAGTGTTATGTTACAAATGAGACAGTTGGTGCAGGTAGTAGTAATGCTCAGACATGTTACTCCTGTCAGCTATGACTTCTGAGGCCTCTGAAAATACACATAGCGACTGCCAGAGCATGTTTAGTAAGGGCTTAGTCAGCTTGCCCCTGTGCTTTAATGAAACTCAAGACTTGTGTCAAAGTCGCAGATAACTGGACTACAAAGTGTCTAGCATCAGATAAAGAGAGCCGGTGTTGGGATTTCAGGCAAAAAGCTATTAGGATTACTCTCAGATGTCACAGATCCCTGCAAATGTTAGCTTGTCAAAGGTTAAACGGGCTCTAATACTTCAATCATTAGTTTGGCTTCTTTTTCCACGCACCACAAACCTTTGGGTGTGTGCGCAGTGAGGTAAAGCTTAAGTAAAATGAGGACATGTTCAACAGAAACATTGTAAAAAAAGACAAAAAGTGGTTCACATAGTTCAAGAAACATTTTGGCCAAAAAGAAACATCTCACAATTGTCTAGGATTTACACTTGGAAACAATTATGAGGTTGAGGCGGAAATATTTTCTTCAGTTGAATAAGCACATAAGAATATACAAATCAAACGTGAAAAGGAGCACAGCCTATGATTAAGCCACTACATCAACTACAATGTGCAAAGTGCCGACCTAACCTTTAACTAGACACTACTGGGTCATAAAAGTCATTTATTTAGGTTGGGGGTAATTATTAGTAACCACAAATTTTAGCTTGAAGGCGTAATGCATAATTAGCTATGGTAGTGTAACAGACAAATGAAGTCAGTTTGAACCAGATGTGCATCTTCTCTGTGTCGTCAAAGCAACAAATTGGAAATATCTCATGAAGGGGTGCATTTTCCCCCAGCAGCCAAATACCAGAGAGCTTTGAAAAGTTAGGACTTCAAAGTGGAGCTGCTACTTTGTGCCCGTTTTCTGTCTGGATTGCATCTATAACACATAATTTTCCCACTGTAAGAGTGTTCTACTTTAATTACTGCACCATTAAGCTCAGAAGTGGGGTTTATGAAGCTGTAAAGGCAGCAGGTTTGGTGTGTGCGGGGTTTGTGATGGACGCGGACACCTGTGCGCCTGGCTCGGGTTCAGAATGCAACTGCTCACTTGAGAAGGCAGTGCTTAAAGTTGCTGTCCTCAGACCTTTGGTTAGTAGGGGGCAGATGGAAACCCTATACTGCCACAGTAGTCTGTCAATACAACGGAGAACAGTGAAAAACATGTCTCTGAATGCAACATGCAGGGTGGTAACGAAGACAACAATCCCTGAATGTGACACACTTTGATACCAGACAATGTACAAAAAGCATGGCCAGTATTTCAAAAGAGATAGTTATGTTTGGCATGTGTCAGTTGGCCTATTGCATTTTTGCAGAAGCAGAATATTGCCAAATAAGGCAGTTAAAGTGCACAAATTTTGCATAGTTCAACTAGAACACTGCTTTGGAACTATCAAATTTCATAGCACTACCAGCCCTTCAAACCATAACTTTCTAAGATGCTTTCCTACACTGACCCTGAGCACAAGTGGGACCCATATTCACTCTGGTTTTGGTTAAACTAACCCACTGCAGATACTATTCTGTCTGGACAACTCCCTTTTATTCTTTCTGTGGCTATTTGGAGGTCGGAGAGACACTCTGTCCTTACATCACTCACACCGCACAGCTGATGCAAAGCCATAAATATCTCTCTGAGAAATGGAAAACCAAACCTGCAGCAACAGCATATGGTGCGCAGTAATGAACGCAGGGCAACACCTAGCACTAACTCACCTTAAAGACCACCTGACACAAACAACTAATGTCCTTAGCAAAAAGAATCCATTTGGTGAATTATTAATTGAACTCCTTAACAAGTGCTTGCTAAAGGTTGGAACTAAACAACAGATAAGCAGAGTGATATTCAGATAGGCAATTCAGACACACAAATCTAATGACAGGTGTAATAAAGAGGTACAGACAAAACTCACAACATGACTCCATAGTGTGTCACTTCCAAGTTTGATTGCAGTCTTGAGGCATGTGGTTTTATTATGAAAACCAGATGCTCAAAAGGCTTCGGGGTTAAGGTGTTGTAATGTTTATGAATTTGCAACGGCGCCAGATCTGGAGTTAGATACAAGTCAGAGATCTGTGTCTGAAACGGACAATTTCAACAGCTGTCAAATACAGTTCAAACCAACTTGCTTTTAAGTTTCTAAGTATATTTATACTGGATGCAGTAAAAAAAATATTAAATAAGACATATTTATCTTTTTTTTAGGTTTTTAGCATTATACCATATAACATATCACTGTTTAACATTTTGTCCATTCAGCAAAAACGGCTATGTGACATTTCTGTATGAATAATCGCAAGTAAGTACAGAGTGGGCAGAGATAGGGGGTAGATGAAAACAGAAGTTTTCTGAGCACTCAAGTTTCAAAAGAAAGACAATGCAGGATTACCCAAACATGTAACTTTGAGTAAGATAAGGGTGAGGGAACTTCATTATAACAAGCTCATAAAAGTAAATTTGACATATTTCCATTCCTTTTAGTGGAGACAGAAAGGTGAGGAAAATGCTGCTAATTAAGATTGTACATTGATATTAGAATCCAGGATATTGTGCTGTTTTGAAGATGAAACTTATTTTAAAAAGTGCAGAGGACTCAAGATTAGAGAAGTGTAAAGAGACAGCAGGGATGTGCTCCAGGGAAATCTATAACCCATTTTCCAATCGCTCACGTCAAAAACTGTTGATACTAATGCTTTAAAATCTCACGAGACTCAGCACAACATCTGTGTTTTAACAAGACTTTCTGCACCACAAAATTTTCACTTTTGGGTATTGAAAAAGATGTCACCAGGCAACAGTTAGAACAAAGTAGTGTTCATGTAACTCAGCAAGAAGTTCAACCAAAGATCAAATAAGACCAACACAAAATAAGACAATGGGCTGTTTGATTTTGTCTTTCAGTTTGCAAGACATTGTTTGATGCACATGGATTTTCAATAAACATTTACATTTCAAAAGACATAGGTTTTGAATATGTTTAGTGTTCTATCTCTCAAATAAGCAAAAAGTCTGAAAAAATGTTATTACAGAATTACAGCAAAACCCTATCCCACAGTGTTAGCTTATCTTTGGATTCAGCTTTATGGTTTTCATTTTCATACGAGATCTAACTAAACAGAGCAAAGAAACAGGGATTGTTAGCAGTGACAGGGTGGATGCAGCAAAAATGTCAGGAATGCTGAGAAAGCATAGGCTTCTAGACAGAAGAGGAAGGAAACAAAGCACAAAGCACTGAAGACTTCACCAATACATAAATATGGAACCATAAAAGTACAGTTTAGCCAACTACTGTAAACTAGCCATGTACATTTCTACATTAGTAACTCTGGAAAAGGAAGTTGTGGTTAACACAAAACAGCGTTGTAAGGGCATGACCTCAGAATCAAATGAGCTGAATCGTAATTAACCCTAAAAACATTGTGGGGCCCTAATTGTCGGTGAGAGCACAGTTTAGACACATTGATCTTTCAGTACTTATCTGCAGACATTGTTTTTCTCCCCAAAAGCATTTTACAGGCCTTTTGTCCTGTCACTCCAACTGTTCTCCATTGTCTAATCTCCTTCATCTGAACAACTGGGTACAGATACTTATCTCATCAGCCACAAGCCAGTCAAAAACCAAAGACCACCCACTGCAATTATCCAATGCAGACCCTTGCTAGAGGCCTTGCTTCTCAGTTGTTACCATGGGAAACAGTGGGTTATGCTGCAAGTAAAATACATACTCATTTTGCCATACTGTAAAGGTTTTAATAGAAGTTTGCTTCACCCATAGTCTAAAAACAATCCGGACAATACATTGGCATCACAAATTACATTAAAATGATCTAAAATTACAGTTTAAAGAAAAAAACAACAACAACGAGATACAATTATTCAAATAAACAAATATCTGTGCCGTAGTGCACAGTGCTAAAGTCAAACATGTTTGTAGTGACACTATATTATGATGTGTGTTGTATCAGCAGGTTCTTTCCAAACACTAAGTCTGTTTTTTTTAACTTCCACGAGACAAAGCAAAAAGCAAAAACGAAGAAGCCCATTCAGTTCTTCTCAAAGGAGACAGCTAAAACAAACTGCTCTGAAAAGCTTTTCAATCTTATGGCTGTGACTTAAATAGATTTGACTTGAATAGGTCCTATATTATAATTCCTTGTTTGGTTTGGGACAAACCTGACATATCGTTTTTTATGGGTAAGAAGGATGGACCCAGACAAGAATCTTAAAGAACACTAAGTTTTTGTCTAGGATGCGAGGAAGAAGACATGTACTGACATGGCCAATGATACCTACCTTCAATGCGGGATTACCTCAGCTTTACACAAATCTATAGCTTCTCTCAACACTGTAGACTCACCATACTAACAATGTACAGTTTTCAGATATGACTGCTATATAAGCCTAAAGGAAAGAAAAGAAATTCAAGATATTCACAGCTACATAATTACTAATTTAAAACCTAATTAAGTTGAAAATGGCATACATCGAGTAAATTTGATAAATTCGTTTATGCAAATCAGCTTAACATTTATAGATCATCTAAGCCTCTAAGGTAGAACATTATAACACCAATAATAAATGGAAGCTTGTTGGAATTCCATATCTATGTGCGCAATACCTGGCAGCAATAATAAAATAATTTTGTGTCTATGTGTGAGTGAGTGTGTTTGCAAGGGAAATGCACATATAAGGCCTGGAAAGAAGTCACGGCTCTTTTCAAAAGCTACAGTGTTTGACAAAGCCATACTGAAGCAGCTCTCCAGAACAAACGGCAGCATGTTCCTGAGATAAGTAAATATTATCAATGCAAATGGATTCTATGTTAAATTGCATTCAGCTGAAATCGGTCCTTATCTGGAGGTTAGGGTAGGGCTGTGACATTTAAAAGTGACATGCATTTTTAAAGGTGATGTTACATATGAAATATGTGTAAGAAGCTTTGAGAATAAAACACGGTCACATGAGTGTTGCTGGCCTTACCCTTGACACGGTGAGGGGCATACTGAAGTCCTTCCCACCCTGCAGTCTGAAGCCCCAGGGCGCTGGGCCGCTGAGGGTTACAGAGTATATGTTCATACCCTTCAAGAACAAACACAGACGTATTCATTAGACACATGCATCCAAGCTACTGTTTATATCACTAAGGAAACATTACATCAAGTAAACATGTATAACACTGCAGCACTGTAAAGCATAACAACACATGAAAATACCACAAGACAACACTGCTGTCAGGATGTACAAAATAATGTAGAGACAGTACTTGATTAATAAAGTAAGGAAAAGCCATTTTAAAACTAAACATCCAAAGCAAATCAGCACCACACAGGCAGAAGCATCATAAATCTAGTAGACAGGAGGAACACTTTTTGTGTTCCACATCAGATTCATTTTTTTTCAACAATTAAACAAAATAAGAATGAGCGAAAAATGTTCATATTATCTGTTAAGTGGTAGGTGATAGTGGTTGATTAAATCTTATAATGATCATAGGCAACTTAAAAAGCATACGTCACAATTCTCACTAAGTGAGATACAGCTGTATTTGTGACCTCTGAACCTCTGAACCTCTCTAACTCTCATCTCAAACTCTAGGTGCTATTGTGCCAACTATCTGCCTAAAATGCCACTGTCAGAGCCTACCTTGTCCAGCTGGTCACCCAAACCTGGCAGAAAGTTAGAGTCGGTGCGCTGGAGCAGCAGATTCTCAGCGTGTTGGCAAACCCTACCCCCTGACGGCGTCTGTGACACAGGCAAGCCCTCGCCTCTCCTCGCTCCTCAGAGGCTATATAAGGAATGTAAAACTACACCAAACTATTTCAGCCCAACACCCACATGAGTCACTAGGAGGGGGTGGGAAGAGGAGAGCAGGACACAGAGGTAACATCAACTGCCCCTGTCGTCTGGCACAGCCAACACATCTAAAAGTCTATGCATTTTTTATTCCAAAGCACTAGAGCAGACAGGCACTAGAGTAGACACAATAGGCAGTGTAAAACACTAGACTGTTGTTTCGCCCAAAATGGGCATTGTATTTTCATACATTTTTTCATTCTTAAATATGTAAAGTTGCCTAAATTGTTCTTGTTTCTTAAGACTGCAGTCAACTTTTATTTTGTTGCTACTACAAACTGTAGATCTGCAAATTAAACAGTACATTTTCAAGGCTTTTAGTCTGTGGGCTAAAGCAATTCAGTAAAGTTGCATATTACTTACATTGCATACAAATGGCTGTTGTAATTGTCAGAAAAAAAAGGAGAGAGTACAGGCTCAGTTCAAAGTTATAACATTGTTATTGCCATCTTTCTTATCTGTAATAACAAAAAGGCACATTCTCAATTCAGTTAGGCTATAACTCAAGTTACAGTCTAATCTATGTTTTGGGAAGTGTTTAATATGCGTCTGTTTCTTCAGTATTACAAGCATTCTTTAGAGATGCTTCACACTGTACTCTTCCTTTTGTTCTTTTTAACACTGATGCAAGGAGCTTATGCTTCATCAAATAGGCCTACTTCTCAATGGGCCCCCAACATAATTATCTAAAGGTGATTAAAGGCCAACTTTATTCACAAACATGTGGTAAACTCTCCAATCCAGAAATAAATTAAAGTTTACTCAAGCACAAGCAATCAAAATGTACGAAAAACGCTGTAGTGCTAGACTGGTGTGGGCGCTCATATCAAACTTAAATGGCTAGAATGCTAGATCATAGGTGAATCAAAAGTTTCAAAACTTTGCGGATCAAATGCTTGTCTGCGTGAGTTTACCTACCTCTTGTCCCGTCTGCTGGTCGCCAGACATCACGACTATTGCCCGATAAAAAATGTGAGGAAAAGTAGGCTAAACTTCGGAACTTCCTCAAAGCGGACGTGAAGGAGCCACCGTGGATCCCCTTGGAGCTGAGCAACAGATTATTCCACAAACTCTAGAGTACGACTGACTCGCGTGAGACGTCACCAGTCACATGGAGCACTTTGCCTCTTTCTCCGGAATTTGAGCCATAAAACAGGAGAGGCACCGGCCAGGCATGAACAACGGGGTTTTATTGGAGCGTGTCGGCTTGTGGCCAGAAAACAAAGATCTTTACTCAGCTGCACACACGTCAAGTAACTTTCATGAATTATGTGTCTAACAGGACTACATTCCACCAATGTACGCAATTTAATTATAAGTGGCATAAATGTAATAAAAAAAAAAAAAAAGTAAAATTATAAATGTATATGGGTGAACTATAAGCATACCTGTGTTTAGACCTGGCAGCCTACCGTTTTGCATTTGTGTTGTTGCCTTTTGTCCAGATCGCCATTGCGGATGAAAATGTGATCTCCACTCCCGCATATACTTGGTCAAAGATAGCTCAGCCTCTCAGACTAGACTGTGTGTGGAGACATTGGCCAGCAGAGGGAGACAAACATAAAGAAAAGAGAGTGCCTTGTCCTGGTCTGTCCAGCTTCATCATCAGCCCACACTTACGGACATAATGAATCATCTACGGGACTAGAGCCGTTATATATTCAGCTTTTTATCCTAAACAAATGAGTTGTATAACCCCTTGTTTTCTTTCTACTGATTATTTTTGCGTAAAACGTTTGATTTTTACAAACCTCTACTTGACGTGTAACTCTGGCAAATTACGGCTAAAACATTAGCAAACAAGCTAACCCGGCTGCACAGAGTTTACTAGAAAAGTCTTTGAAAAAGATGGCTGACAACGGAGCACACCAGGTTGAGGAGGACCCAGCCGCGGCCTTTCTCGCCCAGCAGGAGAGCGAGATAGCGGGGATAGAGAACGATCACGACGGCTTCGGGGCTTTGGAGGCTGCAGATGCTCCTCAGCCTACTACAAACTACGGCAAGTTTATGACCCAGATGGAGCTGGAGGCATCAGCTAGCAAGCTACCAAGCTGCTAATGTGCCCATATATCCATCTACACCCTTCACTTTGTAAATACAGTATACTAACTATACAGTATAATTCGCGATTTGTTCCTTACGGATTACAAACAAAATCACCTATCTATTTATATTATGTTGGTTAAACTGGTTAAATGCCTGGTGTTGATTACAGCCACGGCTTGTTGGGAGTTCACAGTCTGTGGTTAGCTACGTGGTTCACCAGGCATAATTAAACTCTAGGTACCGCTGCATCAATCTCTCTATAATAAATCAGCACTTCAGGACAAACACAAAACGGGCCAAAAGGTTAGACTGTTGGGCCCAGCCCAGTAAGCCTGGCTTTGGAGAGCCAATGATGAACAGACTTGCAGTGGCAGAACAGGTGCCACTGCATTCTGAACAGCAAAGAGCTATGTAAATGTAGGGACGTAGCACACACGTTTGCAGTGAGTGTAAGGGGAAGAACAAATACCTTCTTAAATTGTTTGCATTTTCCTCTTTTTAACAATGTTAGACCCGTTTGGAGAGGAACCTGCCACACTGAATGGTGACATGTATCAGGTAAGTTTTCTGTTTGTTATTTAAACTGTCACCATGGCTTATGAATTTATTCTAAATTAAAATAGTGTCATCTATAAACATTCATCATTTCTGTAACACATACGCCTGTTCGTCTTGTCTACCTACTGTGGGTTTGACTTTGTTTTACTTACACAGGAGACGAATGGACCTACAGACTCCTATGCAGCTATCGCCCAGGTGGATCATCAGAGGCAAGAACCAGAAAGTTTACGCAAGTGGCGAGAAGAGCAGAAGGCACGCCTTGAAGCATTAGGTGAAACGACACTTACCATTTCCTTTCCTAATGTAAGGAATAAAGCCAAACTGAAGTAACTTTTGTATTGTTTTTTTCATAAGATTCTGCATCTAAGGCAGCAGAAGAAGAATGGAGGGCAAAAGCTAAGAAGGAGCTGGATGACTGGCATGTACATCAGAGTGAGCAAATGGAGAAGAACAAGGCCAATAACAGGTTTGTGTCAGTTTACATTTAATGTGGCAAATCCAGAAATATTGCTTTTGTTTTCTCATGAGATTTTAAGATGTGCAGGGCACTCTCTTAAAATGTTGAAATAATACATAGATGGTCAAGTATTAGGAAACTTGAAGCTTCTTTCACTGATTTTAAGCACATTATTTTACATTTCTTGACCTGCTAAACCTCTTCTCTCATACCTTTCAACAGACTCTGTCCAAGTCTGACACGGTATTTCTTTGCATTTCCAACTGTTGTTCTGGCAAAAACTGCTGCCCAAATATTTTTAAAACCACCAAAATTGTTCTCATACTAAGTGAGGCTGTATATCCTGTCAAATGTTTGAAAAACAAACAGGAAACTGGCTTGCTTGACGGAATGCATTTCATGGACAAACATAGTACAGGCATAGTATTCTAAGAAGCCAATAAAGAAGGGCTAATTTACTAACTCTCTTTGCCTTTCCATTTTTATATTTCTTCTGTCTTGTCTAACATGGAATTTCCTCTGCTTTCTTTTCTGCTTGCCTGGCCTTGCTGATGTAATAGGATTGCTGACAAGGCTTTCTACAAACAGCCCAACTCTGATGTTATAGGATTTGTGTACGTTTAGTACTTATGCTGTCAATAATTACTAAATATAGCATTATATTTCTGTATGCATGTCTGTAATAACCATAGGTCTGTGTTGCCAAGTTGCATGTGATTGTGGTAATTTACTTAAGTATTTCATGTACAGCTTTTTCTCGTTGCAGCATGTTTGAAGTGGATGTTGTTGAAACTGCTATTGTATCTGTCGCATAGACTTAATCATATCTCTATTTAATCTGCAGAGCATCCGAGGAGGCTTTTCTGGCAGAGACTGATGGTGACAGCCCTGGCACTGAATGGGAAAGAGTTGCTCGTCTATGTGACTTCAATCCCAAAACCAACAAACAGGCAAAAGACGTTTCTCGAATGCGTTCTGTCCTAATCTCTCTCAAACAAACTCCTCTAGTTCGCTAGTAAATTATGAAATGTACATTCAATACATTTTAAAAAGTGATGCCTTTCCACTTTTAACTGTTACCCTGGTATGGTTTTGCTATTAGCCATTTTCTTACTTGCAAATGCCTTTTAAATAAGTAATCTGGACCCTGTACCTTACAACTGATTGCATTATTTACTTTTATCTTGACACTTTTTAATATCATATTCCTTAAAAGTTTCATTTTTGCATTCAGTTACTGCATAGTTTACCTTATTTGCATGTCTATACTAATATCTAATTTATTTTGTACATTTTGCAAGTTGGCCCTTTTTATTCACTTATTTAAGCACCAATTCTTATTAGATTGTAACCACCTATGCCTAATTTGATTGTGTACATGTTTGTCTTGTTTTCAGTTCATTGAAAAGATACACAAGGTAGCCTATCATTTGCATACCATTGTCCTTTAAACACACAAGCTTGTGGCCTTTAAGATGATCTTTCAATAGATTTGTTTCATAATTAGAAAATTAATATGGACACTTATTGCCAAACCAAAGACATTGACGCCTAAATTCATGAGCAATTGTGCATACAAATTTGCCCTCTTGTGACTCATTCACAAACTTGTGTCATGTCAACTTAAATTGTATTTTCTGTATCACATGTTGCCTGTGCGGATATTACTCGTAAAAATGAATGTTACAATAAAACTGGAAAACAAATTGATCAGTATTTAATGTTCAATAATGATAATTGTAAAATATCTACCTGCTTCTCTGTCTCACATGACATAACATTTTATTTAACCTCTAAAACTTTAAATCTTTGTGTATACATTTGTAAACTATTGATCCACAAGGGACATTACTTGGACACAAAAGCTCATACACTATATTTAGTTTAAAAATAAGCACTGTATTTTGGTTGTTATATGGTTTAATTTCCAATTCTTGAATAGATTAAACAAAACCCATACATTCTGTAATATGTGGAGACAGCAGTTTCCAACACCTGTATTATGATGCATTATAAATAAAGTAGCAGTTACATATTTTTGTTGTTTGTTAGATTTAATTTGATTCACATTGTCCTTATCATGACGCATCTCATTGCTTGGGCTTCAAAGCTGTGGTAAACACACCCACAACAATTGCAACTACAGTGAAGCCTTGGGCAAATATGCGACCCCTCATGAGGAGCTGAGACTGTCTGGTTTTCCCAAGACTGAAGGCACGAAGTCCATAAAGCAGCGCTCCAGCTGTCCCCAAACATCCTGTGGAAGAAGGCACAAAGCATAGCTCAAATCTCAAGCGTTTTCCTTTGGACAACATGGGTGGAAGAATGATATTAAAAAGGATGTTGTAGGTAACGTGACCCCTGATTATATCATCAAGGTTATCGGTATGGTCAAACCAGTTATGGTCAAACCACTTGGCCACCAGCTTTTCCAAATTACAAAACAGAACATGTCATTTTAGTTTTTACAATTTATATCTGAAGTAAAGCTAAGAAATTATTTTTATGACAAAAAATTATTCATAAAGTTAAACAAAGATTTTACAACATAGACATACGTAGCACATGAAAGCATTTTCTGTTGTTCTTTTTACTGCATTGTAAATATGTAGTTTATTCAGTTTTAACGCCAGCTATAAAGGTAGGTTACTTGTGTAACTGTTCTCACTCACCTATTGGGACAAATGGATTTTCTTTAGTCTTTCTGATAAATTTCTCTTGGAAACTCTCTTCTTTTGCTCTCGGTGGGGGCGTAAACCCCTCGATAATCGGAGGTTGGGAAAAGTCAAATGGAATCGGTACAGTGGGTGTTTTGGCTGTCTGATCCGACACGACTGGCGTCGTCGTAGCCGCCATAGTTAGCAGTAATGCACACCGGAAACCAGACTATCAAAACCTCCGGTTTCGTAAACCTTCAACCTAAAACAAATCGCTGGACAATGCTAAAAAAAAAAAAAAATTAGTGTATATATCCAAAACCTATACCTATGTCTCCCATTCTTTGTTTTATTTGTTTGTATTTCCTTATTTAATTACAAGTTTAATTGTAGTATTCCTAATCATAATACAAGATGGGACAAGAGCTAGTTTTTCCTATTGATTACACTGTACTTTACCTTTGAGATCTTTCATGGCAAATTCACAAATTTTGAACCTGAACCTTGTGTGGCTGATATATTGTGTGCCTACTTACACATTTATGATGGCCACAATAGGAACGATCACAATTTTAAAAAAAAAACACCAGTGATACTTTTCAATCTTTTATTTGAATATTAAGGTAAATATTTCACATTAATACAGGCTACATAAAGTAGAGCCACTATACGACATGAAATTTACTCTCATTTTAACCCTTTTTAGTATGTAAACAATTATACATGTATTTACCACTCTAAAAGGTTTTGATTTCTCGTTCTCCTCAGGTAATCATCTAGTTTTGGGCCATTAAATAGCTACTTCATGTTGAGCCCCTTAAGCCCAAGAAAGGTGTTGGTGGGTTTAAGTCAAAATCACTAAACTACGCAGAAAATGGATCCTGTTTAACAGTTGATCGCACAAGTTTGCTTGAATCATTGGGACACTGAAAACAGCTCTTGCCCAACTCTGTTGTTCCTTGTGGATAGGAGAGATAGGCACATCAAAGAATGGCGTCATGAGACCTTCCAATTCTTTTAACCTCCTGCTCTGCACTCTTAAGTCACTAGTTAGGTTATCACTGTAGTATTTTTTAGCTTTGTCTTAATCTGTCATATTTCGTCAAGTTTATTTTTCACGCTTGCGTTGCGAGTCATGCTTTGTTTGATTGCTGTGGACGCTGCCTAATTGACGTGATTCAGATGCACGTTGCCCAGATGAGGTGCCCAGGTACCAGGCCACACCTATATAGACAGAGGGAAAAATGTCCAAAAGAGCCATAAATATAAATACTATTTACTACTACATTTCTAATGCAACTCACTTTTTTGTAATAGAGCTATAGTACCTGTTGTTGTGGGTCAGAGTTGTCTGCATTATTCGGGACCACTTTGATTATGGGACTCCATGCAGGGTCGCCAGTGTGCAAACCGTTGTACATTGCTCCTCCTGGCCCCTCTGCCATGGGTGCATGAGGGGGCAGCATTGTTCCTCCATACATTGATATTGGTATACCCTACATGGAAAAAAAAAATAAGGCTATGTCAAAATCTGTTTTAAAAAAAACATGTTCACAGGTTTGCTTTAAGTCTTTTTAGTTACCTTAGGGAAGTCAGGGATGTAATTGTTCGGCATATGCTGCGGCTGGTGAAAATTGTTTGCTGGGTTCGCAATGCCGGTATCATCCTGCTCCATCGGCTGGTGTTGAGAAAAGGCCGACTGTTCTGCTTGCAGCTGAGGATGCATCATGTGACTGTTCATCAGTGGCTGGGACCAACCAGACATAGCCTCTGCATCAAATATTATAACAAAGTAAGAGACAATGTAGAAAAAAAATACTGGGTCACACAAGTTCACATTTTTCACTCACCCGAAGCACTGCCAACACCAAATGACCAAATGCCTCCCTGTCCAACAGACGCAGTGTAATTGGTGGTGAGGAGTGGTGGGTTCACGGACCCTGTTTGCCGAATTCGAGCCAACCTCTCTGTTCCAATGGGTGGGGGCACCTTCCGATCCTGCTGCGATGTGCTGCCTGGTTTAGGCTGAGGAGGAGGGGCCACCGCTGATGTGGACAGTGCAGATGATGACACAGTGGAGGGAGGAGGAACAGGGGAGTCGCCTGAAAAAAAAAAAAAACTTAACTGTTAAATAATAAATTAAGAAAACAGTGTAAGCCTTATTCACAAGGAAAACTACCTGAAGTTGATGCACTCCATGGATGAGGGGAAAAGTGCTGTCTGCTGAAGGAAGGAGCACCCACTGCGGTATGTCCATGCAGATACACAGGATTGGTGGTATAGCTCGCCAAAGCTATAACAGAAAAGAAAATATGATTTTAGGAGCTGCAACACTGACAACCAGATACCTCCAGAATGTCAAAGCATCTTACCAATGGGGCTATTGACCATCCTCTGGGAGGTTGAGCGGTAGCCAGGGGCTTTGGAGTTGTCTGGCGGAGGTTGGGGAATCATACTATCCATTTGACCCATGGCCATGTAGTTTGGTGGAGCCGAGTACGACTGCTCTGGTGGGGATCGAGCAGGTAGATGGCTCCACACTTGATTGTTTCCAACCTGAGTAAAATAATAAATATTTAAATTAATACACCAAAATCCACAATTGCAGTAAACTGTTTCTGGAATAATTTTGGCATGAGCAATAATTAAAATATCACAGTGACTGACCTGGTTGTTGTTATCAAAAATGCTGCTGAAATTGAAAAGCCCAGCCGGACCGAAGTTGGTGATCTGTTGCGGCTTGCCTGGGCTGGCCACATGCTGCATCTGTGAACCATTGATCATCCCGAGGTTTGCAGAGACCTGATGTGAGCCTGGAGCTTGGGCTTGGGGAGGCAGACCTGCAGGCTGAGATGTTTGGTTTTGGGACTGTTTGGGGAGCTCTTGCTGAGTGTTGAACGGCACAAACACAGACTGCTGCTGTTGTTGCTGCTGTGCCTGCTGCTGCTCAGTAAGAGAGTAGTAAGGCCCTGGTGGCTGCATACGATGAGAGACTCTGGGTGCAGGGGCAGAAAAATGGGGTACAGTGTTGTTGGGATGTGCAATATTATGTGATAGGACAGGGGGGGTAGCTGAAGGGAGATTGGAGCTGGGCTGTGGGTTTAGGAGGGGTGGAGGTGCCTCTGAGGATGGTACAGAGGAGGGTGTCGTGGGTAACTGTTGCCGGGGTTCTGGTTTGGACGATAAAGCCAAAGCTGGGGGTGTGAAACCCACCGAAGCGATATTGTCACTGACAGAAATGGGCTGACTTTCTACTGGGAGTGGCGGCTTGTCTTTGCCAGGAGTAGCAACAGCACTGAGGTCTGTTTTGACTGCCTGAACAGAAGGCTGTGAGATGGGTCCGACTGGTTGGGGTGTAGCATTAGCAGTGGTCGTATTTGAGCTGTGATGTGCTGGAGACCCTGTTCCCCTTACTGCATTGTTAACGTTAGTAGGAGGTGTAGCCGAAACTGATACAGCATTCACCCCTTGAGACTTGGGGTCAGGGCCAAAGAGTTGTTTTCGAACAGAAGACGGTGTGGGTACATTTGTTTGGGGGTTGTAAGAGGTGGGATTGGAGGTATGAAGGGAGGCTGCAGATGTGGATGTGTTAGGAGTGCTGGTAGTAGTAGTGGTGGTTGTTGTGACTGGGGCTCCTGTAGTTGATGTGTTGCTGTGGTCGCCATGAGCCGAGTTGGGTCTAGGCTGGCTGGTCGTGCTACTGGTTCCTCCATTGTGTTTGGGGGAGCTGTTTGCACTGCCAGGACTCACAGGACGCACAGGAAAAGGACCCCATGTGCTAGCAGCTGGGGAGAAGGTTCCACCGAACTGGGCCATGGGTAGACGTGGATGTCTGATTTGGTGCATGGTTTGAGCAGCGAGTAGAGCAAGTTGAGGGTGGGCGTACGCAAGGGGCAGAGACACAGGAAAAGGCTGTCTGACATTGGATGGCAAGACCTTCCCAATCTTTCCACCAGCTTGAGAGGATGCTGAAGAGGCAGGTTGGAACGATACCCCAGGGGATGTGACCAGAGAGCTCAGTGGTTTGGTGGCAGAACCACTGGTGGTCCCAGTTGTATTTGGGAAAGAAGCAGTCGTTTTGGAGCCTGGAGCTCGGATGTGATTTCGGGGGATTAAATCTTCCAGCTCTTTAGCAGGATCTTGAATTAGAGCATTGATGAGCTGGACTGCATACCGGGTGGACTCTGTACCTCCCCTGCAACATGATACAGTCACAGTTGCAATTAATGTACATTAAAAGAAAAACAACATGGCTTCAACTTTCTAGTAAATGTATTTTGTATGTATGTTAGCAATGCCATTTCAAAATTAGTCCACCAGATGGCAGTATTTTACCTTATAGTAATCATCCTCTCCCCATTTTTGTCCTTCTGTTTGTCTACATCAATATGAGCTCCAGTCACATCTTGAATTGCTGTGATGTTGCAACCTCCTCGGCCCATAATCCGAGAGACCACAGAGGCGGGAACAGAGAGCTTCTTTGATCTGCAAAATGAAAACAATAAATGCTCATCAAACTCTGAAGCAGATTAATTTTATTAGTTTCTATAAATGATATGGACTCTAGAGAGTAACTGTTACAATGAAAAAACAAAAAGTAGTAGCCAGTATCTTTTTAAAAAGTATTACAGTAGATCTACACTTAAATGTACTGGTTAAATATTTTTTTCCCACCAACCTCCTGACAACTTCCTTCCAACCTTCTTCTCTCTTCTGGCCACGCTTAGGGCTTGTAAGGCTTAGCTTAGTGCTTGCAGTGTTAACTGGTAAAGCCATGGTTTTAAACGGTGAGGGAAGGGAGCTTGAGGTTGAATCGCTTGTGTCTGGAACTCTGAAAAGACAATTTGTTTTAGGGTTCAATGAAACACACCTTAATAAGTATTTACTGGTTTATATAGTGTTTTACATGTTCATATAGACCTTACAAAATCACTAAAAATGCAAACAAAAAAAGTACTCCTCACATGTTTTATAAAGCAAAGACTAGTACAGGGTACAAAATAATGGGGGGGGGGAATCAAATGTCTTGCTCACTTTTGCGTTGGTTTTGAGATGGAGACAGTGACCTTGCTGTCCATTCGGCTCTCAGCTTGTGACTGCAGATACTGCCTTTTTTCTGGACCTGGTGGGAGGATTTGTGATGGCACTGCTCCTGAAGAGGGCGCTGAGGACGATGAAGAGGAGGAAGATGACGAAGCAGAGGAAGTCAGGTCAGGAAGATAGTTGAGCTCTTGACTCTTGCCACCACTGCTGCTGCTTTCACTGGCACAGTCCGTGCTGTCCAAGGGGTCTGAGTCGCTGTTGCCACTCGTCACTCCCCCACCGCCGCCCCGGGGCTCACCATGGATCTTGTTCTTGTCAGCCTTGTGCTGGGCTAGTGCAACCTATGACAAAAACAGGAATTGTATTCCATTCTTAAAATGCAGCTTATATTCGTATTATGATGTGCTAACCTGTGGATCTTGTAATATGATTGGCTCGCTTGGAGAGGAGTCCTTGGTCTTGTTCTTTTTATTCTTACGATTGGTGCTTGGGGTGGTGGCCACACTTGCCCTTTTCTTACCAAAAGCTGTAGTGAACGTGGTGGATGTGGCAGATATGCCAATTGTAGTGGTGGTGGTGGCACTGGGAGGCTCAATTGGAACCTCTGTTTCTAAAGTGAATAAAGAAGAACACATTTAAGAAAAGATACATAAAAATTAACAAAATAATAATAATTCACAAAGTGGGAAGAGCTAGAAGTGTGTGGAAGTCTGGGCCATCCTGCTTAGACTACTGCCTTCGCAACCCAGCCCATAGATGAGAGACACAATGGATGATCAGATGGATGTTCAAAGTACTTGTTTATTTAAAGTTTACCTTCTGCTGAATCTTCCTTCTGATCCAGCATCTCAGACTCGTCCTTTGATTTCTGCCCCTCCTCTTCCTCTAGTTTTCTCTTCTGCTCCTCCTTCTTCTTCTTGCGCTTCTCCTTGCGCTTTTCACGCTTGGCAGCTAAGGCCTGCTTCTTGCTCTCCTCTCGCGACTGTGAAAATTATCAAATTAGAAAATAAATAATATCACATCATTAAAAGCTCTGAAGGCATTACTAGAGTATGCATTACCTTTTCCAGGTCGAGCTCTTTCAGGAGGATGCTCGCATTTTTGTTGGCTTCAGCTGCCTGTTGGTCTTTGGCTTTGACGATGGTTTCCATGCACTGATGGCACTTCTTTAACAGCTCCTACAAATGGTACAAATTTGACTACTGAGCACATAAAATATAAGCTTTTCATTAAAAAAAATTTGTAAAGGGTGCACAGAGGGCAGTGCCTTTATTTAAAAAGAACTTAATACCTACCTTATCAGTAATGGTGGCAATATATCTCATACACTCAATGTCTGATGGGAACTGGTTGACTTCCTTTACAAGATACTGTACCACTTTAACATGACCCTATGATGATTTGCAAACAAGCTGTTACTCACTTGTAAAGTAAGTAAATATAATAAACAAACTACAAAAAATCCCACACCTTTCGAAAAGCAGCCATGAGAGGGGTGATCTTGCGGTTGTCAGCTGCATCCACATCAGCACTGGCATGAACCAAAAGCTGAACCACGTCAAAATGTCCGCCATTTGCTGCGAGCCAAAGAGGTGTGTTCCCTTTTTTGTTACGTACATCAATATGAGCACCCCTGTGAAGACAGTATTTGTGTATATATTATACTTCATATATTTCGGTAAGAAGAACAGACAGAATAACCATGGTTGGCTTAATATATCCCAAACTCACCTGTTGATAAGCAGCTCACAAAACTTATAGTGGCCTTTGTCAGCAGCAATGGTAAGGGCAGTGTCTCGTGATGAGGGCACAGGAGGAGCATTGACATCAGCACCTTTATCCAGAAGCACTCGTCCAACTTCAGCATAGCCTCCAGAGGCCGCCTCCATCAGAGGAGTGAGACCAGTCTGCAGGGAAGTGAGGACTCCGTTAGGAAAACATTGCACAATGAATACCAAAGGCTGAGTCAGACAAAATCATAATTTACCTTAGCTCGATGTTCCACATTAGCCTTGCGATCTAACAGCAAGCTAACAACCTCAGCTCGCCCCTGAAAGCATGCTAAGGTCAGGGCAGTGTTTCGATTGGTCTCAATCTGGGCATTAATGTCAGAACCCATGTCCAGCAGCAGTTTTACAGCTGGTACATGGCCATTCATTGCTGCCAGCATTAGAGGGGAGATCCCAAGCTTACTGCCAGTTCTTGAAAAGAAAAAAATATATATACATACATAAGATATTTTTTTTATAATAACTTTACAATCTAGCATGCTGATAAACTTTTCTACCTGGAGTTAATTTCAGCACCAGCATTAAGAAGTATTTTAATGATGTTGACATAACCCCCAGAAGCAGCCAAGCTGAGTGGTGTGTAGTCAGAAACATTGCGGTGCTCTTTATTTGCTCCCCGAAGCAGCAGCAACTCTACCACCTCCTGTCGCCCACCGGAGCAGGCCAGGGAGAGGGGCGTGTCTTTGGTTCTCTCTGACTGCGCTTCAATGTCGCCACCTTTGTCCAGGAGCACTTCAACCACTCCCACATGACCAGCTGTGGCAGCCAGGATGAGAGGGGTGAATCCTGAAGAGCAATGGGAAATTAGGAGAGCCCTTAGTTCTTTTGGTTGTTCCCATTTCAGGGGTCAAAACAGTAAGTCCTCTAACGCAATCTGTTTCTAAATGCCTCATCTATTCTCAAACAAACTAACTTCATGTTCTCATTTACATCCATAAATATTCGGTCTTTTTCTACACCTCTAGCTCAATAACTAAACATTTTGCCTGATTAGGTTGATTGTTGTTGTTAAGGTATACCTTTTTTGTCCCGGTGCTCAATGTTGGCTCCCCGAGCAATCAGGACAGATACCAGCTCTTCATGTCCTCCTGCACATGCCAGCGTCAGCGCAGTGTCATGGTTACTCTCCGTCTGAAAAGAAAACGGCCCTCAATAACAGCACAAATATGTAGGGATATTACTTTAGCTTGTCTTTAATGGATCTTACATGTGCGTCAATGTCGACAGAAGGATAAAGAGGCAAAACAGAGGGAGGCGTGGAGATGCTTGCGGGCGTCTGTGAGGGTGGCTGGGATAAGGGCGTTGGTGAAGTTGTAGTAGTCAGCATTGGTACACGACTGCTCACAGCTGAATCAGAGAAATCATATGAGCAACATTTATCACAAAATTGAAAGAAAACATGCACCTTGAAATCAACGTACCTGCCATGATGTCATCCAGCGTGTCTGTGAGTGTTTGTGCAGGTGTGGCTACCATGAGACCATCTGAGGGCTGCGGAGGTAACATTCCTGGGGAAATCCCAGTCAACTGTTGACCCTGGCCCTGCGGTTGGCCCAGCATCTGCTGTCCCACTAGTACCCTTTGGAGCTCAGGGCTCCCTGGGTAGTCCGCAGGGTTGTAGTCTGGTAGGGGGGGGATAGGAACAAAGGCCGCCTGGAGAGGTGGAGGCGGGGGCTGTGGCTGGGTCTGAGGTGAGGGTGGAAGTGGAGGTTGCTGTGGAGGCTGGTAGAGAATTGTGCCCACCTGTGGAAGTTTGGCAAAATCCTCCTCTCCGTCAGGCTCTTCATCTGAACCCTCCTCCTCATAATCATAATCTTCATCCTCCTGGTTGGATATATGAGTAAATGGATAGATAGGTAAATGTTTAAGGCAAATATCCTACACATCACTTTATGTAGTCAAGTGTATTTTACTGCTTCTACCTCTGCAGGCTGCTCTTGCTCTACATCCCGGTTGGCCTCTTCATCTGTGTCAGAGCTGGTGTTGACTTGGGCGCCTGGAGGTGTGGGAAGAAGCATCGGGGAAGTTGGACTCCCCGGCCCAGGTCCAGGGCCTTGGCTTTGCCCAGGCTCCTGTTCCTCTTTCAAGCCCTTTGCCTCCATATACTCTTTGGTGAATTGTTGCTGTGTTTTTAACTGCAGCTGGCGCTCTACCTTCTGCAATTCCTTCAGAATTTTCTTTTTCTTCTGAACCTAAGAAAATATTTTATATCAGAAAACATTTTAAAACATCAATGGCATGACTAGCGCAACACCACACTCGAGGTAATGCACACCTGCTCCTCTCTACTTTTCTTCAACTCCTCAATCTTGTCTTTGGTGAGTGGCTCCCCCTGAATAAGTTCTAACGACTGAAGTTGGGCTTTTTCAATGGCGCTAATCCTCTGCCCAAGCTCATTGAGCTTTCCTTCTGTCTCCTCCACAATGCACTCTAGAGGCTGGCACAAGTGGAAGGTCGGCAGATGATCTGCCTCTGTCCGTTGGCCAGTCGCACTGGGCACACTAGGCTGAAGGGCAGCTTGTCTCTGCTTGGACATGGCTAAAGAGTCAAAAGAGATAATAGAGCATAAGTACGTCATTACAAATGAATAATGTATTCCAGTAATTACAGTCATATTAATGTTACAACTCTTATCTACCTGTATCAGTTTTATCTATAAATGTTATAACAAAAAATATATAATTACCCTTGCTTGAGACGGGAGGGGGGGTGGCTATGCTTGATGGAGCTTGGTCGGGCTCCTGGGGAGGTACCAAATTAGCGAGGGCTTGGAATGGGACACGAGGAACCTACAAATAGGGATTATTATTATTATCCTCCTCATCAAATAGAATAGTGGGCAATGCACAGCAACTAAAGCTTTACCTGAGAGGCATCTTGCGAAGGAGGCGTTAGTTGTGACAGATCAGGGGCTGGGACAGACAGGATGTTGTTGGGATAATCCAACAGGTAGGATACCACGTTAGTGTGGCCACCCTTAGCAGCTTCTATCAACATGGTTGAACCATCCTAAAATCACATATTAAAATTTAATCCAGCACTCCAGATTAAAACTAAAAGAATATGTGGGGCTGTCATTACTTTGAGCCTGTGCGTTGGGTCAGCTCCATGTGCCAGTAGAAGCTCCACCACAGCAAGATGTCCTCCAGCACAGGCCAATGACACCACTGTGTGGTCATTATTAGCTGTCGCTCGATTCACATTAGC